GGATGCATTGGGGTGAATGGGTTGTGAGGTGTTTTGTTATATAAAGGAAGAGGGAAGAAGGGTTTACGCAGGGTTTGTGTATATTTTACTGCTTGTTCCATCACTCATTTCAGGATTGCGAAGTGAGGATTCTTTTCGTTCGGTCGCTACTTTTTTTCTTCTACCTTTTCTGCTCATCCTTTATTTTCCCCCCTCTGGTTCAGGGGCTGGTTTCCTCTCTTCTTGTCTTTGGTGTTATTCCATGTACTACAGAGTCACTCAACCCACACCATCCAACATCAACCGAAACCACAACCATGGCCCCGGCCATCACCACCACCACCACCACCACCCTAGCCCTAACAGCCCTCCTCACCCTCACAACCGCTCTCCCCGCACCCTCCCTCCTCCCTCGCCAATCCAACAACAACGCCCCCTGCTTCCTCCCCGGCTCCAACCCCCTTCCCGCAGAAGTCTCCGCCATCGCCACCACCCTCGCATCCAGCATAACATGCTCATCCACGCGTACCACCCTCTCCGGCGTGCCCGACGTGACCTCGGGCAGCATCTCCTTCTCCAGCATCGACTTCAGCCAAGCCGAGGGAAATGGACAATCGCCGCTCGCGTTTGCGCTCGAGACGTTTGCGACGCCGGAGCCGCTCGCAGATGCGGATTTGCAGACGTTTGAGGACGAGTTGGATGTCTACCTGGCGACCGAGGCGGGCGTGAGGAGTGTCGGCGGCGCGTTGGCAATCAAGGTGCCCAAATTCTTTTTGCAGATGCAGGTTAGTCGAATTCAGACGGCGCAGGGGAATCCGCCGGCTGCGCCTGGGCTGCAGGTCGATCATTTGAGGGATAAGGTGATCAAGAATGCGGCGGGAGAGGATCAGGCCTTGTTGGATCAGGTGGTTGCGTTGGCGGCGCAGCTTGATTAGAGGGGGCGCGAAATCAGGGGCATGGGCATGGGCATGGAAGAGAACAGGGAAACAGGTCAAAGACAGTACACCTACAATGATGGCCCTGGGCCCAGATACAAGTATCATACTCAAGTAGACTATCCCCGCTAATCATGCAACAACAAGTGGAAATCATACAGAAGAAGACCAATCAAGGCATCCATCACACCCACTGCCCCCTTCCATCACTGCCTCCAAAAACATACCATGCCATTAACAATCAATCTTTCCACCAGCATCATCATCTAGTGCCCGACTAGAAAGAAAGAATTACAAGTCTACGTGAGACGGGACAGCATCGGAAATTCCCGCCTCCACCTGTTCATTGACAAAAACATCAACATCGTCAAGGGAAGCCAGGGTGATGGTGCTCTCGACAACCGAGACACTGGGTTTGGTCACCGTCTTCGTCACAATGGACACGACATCTTGTGGGATGTCGATGTCGTGAGTGTTGGAATCCCCATCGCACTTCTTCATATCGGTTGTGATCTTCTGGAGTCTGATTTCGGTCTCGGGCTTGCCTCGCTTCTCCCACTCGGCGTCGGCGCAGACTGGTACACCAGCCAAGTAGGGGTGCATAAATCGAACGCGGAGATGCCAGGAGCGCTTCTCGATGTCTCCATCAGCCATTCCAATGTCGCCTTCACCGAAGTCAGTGTCATCTTCGGCCACTTGTGCTGCCGCAGAGGAGGAAGAAGAAGGGCCAGAAAGGACAAAGACCGAAAAGACCGAAAGGTCTGTATCCATGGTAGATGTGGCAACTTCCACGATAGGCACGGCGACTTCAACAGTAGGCACGGCGACTTCCACGATAGGTGTAGCAACTTTCATAAACGTGTAAGTGGGTGAAACGACAGTAGTAGTGACTTCTCTGGTGAGGGTTGATGTGAAGTCGTTTATACGCCCATGTTTTGGGCCACAGTTCATGGGGTTTTTGGGACCGCTACGGCAATCAAACTTGGTGAAGTCGTCTGTCTTGTACGTATAGCAGTCGTAGCAGATGAGTGAACGGCTCCAGGGATGAAACATCCAGCGACCCTTGTGGTTGTTCTCGGGGCTCGGCCCAAATTGACTGGGAGTTGCTTCTGCATTGCGACTAGCGAGCTTCGGGGAGATCAAGAAGGTATTTGTTCTGGTTGATGTCGTGCTCGCGGGCTCCAGCGAGATCAAGACGGTGTTCGTACTGGTCGATGTCGTACTTACTAGTTGCAGAGAAGCCAAGACGGTATTTGTTCTGGTCGATGTCGTACTCACGGGCTTCAGGGGAATGAGGAGGGCATTGGTCCTCGTTGACGTCTCAGTAGCGGGATCTTGGGGAATCAGGACGACGCTAGTCTTGGTTGAGATGGTAGTAGTGGGCTCCTGCGGAATTACGAGAATACTGGTTTTGGTTGATATCTTGGTAGAGGGTTCCTGAGAGACCACGATAGTGCTCGTTTTGGTCGATATCGTACTTACGACCGGCTGGATCAGGATGGTATTCGTTTTGGTAGATGTCGTAATGTCAGGCTTCTGGAATATTTTGATAGTACTGATTGTGGTTGATGTCTCACTAACAGGCTCCTGGGATATCGCGATAGTCTTCGTCGTCGTCGATGTCTTCTCTTGGGGGGTTGCTTTCTTGTCTGTGTCGACACTCCACGAGACCAAGAGCGCAGTTTTTGTTTTGGTCTTCGGACTATGGTACATCAGCTGACTATCCTAAGAAGAATGGTAAATGAACCCTACGTTGAATGGGGTACAGAGACGCAATCAAAGTGGATCGAAAGTGCTGGAGCATTTGCATCATAGGTGAGGCACTGTTGGAGTCCTCGAGGCAGAGAGAGTCGTCCAAGCGCAGTCTTATCCATACAGCCGCGAGTAGAGTGTGCAACAAGGTTACAAACTGCAGTGCCATTGTTGATGTCATTGATCCACTCAGCATTGTCCGGGAGCTCGAATGGTCTGAAGCTCTGAGACCCACTAGCCAGGTTCAAACACTCATTGCGGCTGACATCGAGGTTGACAAGCTGAGGCGGTGCGTCGCAATTCTTGGCTGGGAACGAGTAGACGCGGATCTTGTCCTCGGACCGTGTAAAGGACGAAAGTGCGAGCAATATGCCGAGGCTAAGTAGAGGTAGTCGAGTCATTGCGAGGGTACTGTGGTAGTTGTCAGAGTTGGGATCATCAATAGGGCAGGCGGAGTGTTGCTCAATAGAAGAAGAAGATTTGGTGAAAGCGGGGAAGGCTGGACAACTAACCTGAGTGCAAATCTTCAAGCTATTATGGAGTTGTTACTGCCATCTGTCAGTCCTAGACACTCTACCGTGTCGATGTTGGGCTGATGGATGTGATGGAAGGGGTGGATGGCCCAAGGATTAAAGGCGAGCCGCAGCTAGAAGCAAAGCAAGAGTGTGTGCTAGATGGTTCGGATCAGGTCGACTGTACCGATGTGAAAGGCCGTGCGAGGTTGAGCGATCCGATAATGTCTACCCATTGTCAGCGTCAGGACGTCCTGGTGGATTGAGGTGTGTTGAAGAGCTGATGACAGGCTCGCCACCCAGGAGACAGGAGGCATGCATGCAGTCATACCAGGAGTGAAGCCAAGATGAGAAGAGGCTGGAAGCTGAATGCGGGACGGTTGTTGTGCGATGTGAGAAGAGAAAGGAGAAGAAGAGACGCAACCGAGCACGAGCTTTTATGGACTGCGGCGCTGGCTTGGGAACGAAGCTCACCGTGGCAACAGTGACAGAAGGTGTATCGGGCTGTCTCTGGTGGGCGTGGTTACTGGTGATGAAGAACCAGTGGGCAGGAGGCTCCGCTCTGGGAAGGCTCCAAGGATCGGAAGTAGAAGTAGATTGTGCGTGTCATGTGATGGGAAGTCGTGATGGAGTAGTCGAGTCAGTCGCATGTAGCAAGTTGCTGACTGCACCAAGTATGCAATCTCAAGACGGTGCTTCATTACATGCATCCATGCGTTGGACCTGTTCCCAGCGGCAGCAGAGACCTTGTTGTTCAGTGTGTTTCGATAGTAGCAACAAAAGAAAAACGAGTGTGAAGCGGAACAACGCGATTGCACTTGAGACTTTTCCGTGTGGAAGTTACGCTTCATGGCCATAGAAGCTGCAATAGGCCGTCTCCATGGCTGTACTGTCCATGATGACAGTCAAGGTGTCGTGTTGACAGCAGAGAACTTGGCAAAGGTCATCGGCGACTCGAGATGGACAATACGTTGTAGCCCCTAATGAAGGGCACAAATTGGAAGGCTTGTCTGCACTCGCTGCTAAGAAAATAGTGTAAATCAGGACAAAATTGGCATGGGAAGACCTACAATGTCACTAAAAGGATGCTGTGCTGGTCTTTCCGGCTTTCGTTTTGTTTCGTTTGCTTTACAAATCCCTGCGGATATAACATGTGGCATCCATGACTCCAAAAACTCCATACAAATGGCCTGAACAAGCGACTGTACCTACCACTCCCCCCAAGCATCGTCTTCCTTCTTCCCACTTGCGGCTCCACCCGACCCGCCCTTCTTCATAGCCGTCGTGCCAATGCCTGATGGTTTCTGCCTTGCTTGGTTGGCATTCACCCTTGTCTCACCTGCAGTCGAGAACTCGTCCCAGAAGTCCTGTTTATCTTTGCTAGGCCCCTTTGCTGGCGCCCCAAAAGACTCCCAGAAGTCTTTGTGCTCCGGTTCGACAGCGGGGCCGCCACGCCGAGCATTCGAGGTCGTACTTTCACCCTCGACGAAGCGATTGAACGTTGTTCCTGCATTGACGACGCCGGTTTGAAGGGTTGCGCCAATGGTGCCTGCAGTGTTGCGCGCTTGAGAGGCAATGTCTGCTTCGGCAAGCTGGAGAAGATTGTCAGTAGCTATAGACTGAGGGACTGTCACACCCTAGGTCTCTACCTTCTGCATGCCTGGCTTAACCCAGCCTTCGTAACCCGTCTTGCCGACCTTGCTGACACTAGCGCCGAGCCAGCCAAAACCCTTGGTCAGCGCTGCGACGGGGTCCTTTTGGAAGTCGGATATCTCAGGCGGCGCGTCGAAGCTGTCCTCTTTCTTCCACGAGTCTGGCTCGCTGCCAAAGCCCGAGAACTTGCCTCCCTGGTTGGGCGCCACACCCTCAGGCCGTTCTGCATTGGCCTGGCCCATTTTGGCAAAATAGGCTTCATTCTTTGACTTTTGCGAAGACATGGCGTTGGTCCCCAGTGCGGGTGAGGCCGAGCGGTGCAAGGCAGCATCGTGGCCTCTTGGCTTGCCCAGGGGAGTTTGACTTCTGCTATCTGTTGCACTGGCACGGCCACTGAGGGGCGCACCCATGCCGGCCGATGTTGAATTGTCCTTCTTGGGCAGTCGCTTGGGCAGATTGGCCTTGTCAAACTCGCGGTCTTCGACCTTGCAGCTTAGCCTTTCCTTCCACTCGTCGCCCGCCTCCGAGTCGTAGCGTTCCTGTATCGTCGAGGCTTCAAACGTCCTTCCTTCCTTGGTATTCGAAGCGTGCGCGTTGAAGAAGTCTTGATAGGTCTTGTTGCCACCGGCGGCCATGCGGGCAAGCTCTGAGCCTTTGAAGGCGTCCATGGTGATGCTGCGAATAAAGGAGATGTGTACGCCGAGACCGCGGTGAACGCCCGAGCAGGACAGACACATGAAGATTCCGAGTTTGGGCGAGGCCTGCCATGTTAGACTGTGCTATGCGCAACCGTGTCTACGCGCCTGAGGGAGGAGGGTGTACATGGTGAGGGAAGGAGGTTGCGTACCCATTGGGGGCTCGGCGCATTGCAATCGACACATTTGTTGTTCTCGTTGGTCTTTTGTATCTCCAGCAACTACATTCACTTGTTAGCTGTCCTATTCGAAAGAAGTATGCGCACCGCATGCATCCTTTGCGCATCGCTCTGCTCCCACATCACCATTCAGCACGCCTAGCAAACTCCACCTCCACGACAACGGCGCTGGAGCGCTTGGAACTGGCCTACCTACCTTGCTGCGCGTCTCCGGATCAACCTCCCACATTTTACTCATGGCGAATGACTAGCGGAAATATGCACTGCTGGGCTCTGCACCGTTGTGTTTGCCACGTGAACTAGTCGTGGGGTGAATCTGATAAGAAGCGATGAGAATGGGCCACGGTGGTCGAGATTCACGGTCCCCCCTCCCCTTACCCCTACCCTAGCGAAATGTAGCGCCTAGGGCACTTGAGCCTCATCCCACGTCATATCGCGTGCCCCCCCCCCCCCGTCATGTTTCACACAAATACATTCTCGGGGTTGAACGAGGCGCAGGCGAGAGAGACATGCTCTGGTTGTCCTCTTTACATAAGCCAAAGAGCGTGTAAGCATGAATCTCTGTCTCTGGGCGACATCATAAAAGTTGAATATCAGTGTTGATGGACTATCTTTTATTTTTCAAAGTACGCGAGCTACATAGGCCCTGCTCTCTTCTGACTAACTAATATGGAACCACCGCCTCCCCTTTGCTAATGACCATTTAAAAGGCTGGTCTTCCTCCTCTGAGCTACGGCTTTGGTGTCTTTTCCTTGACTCTCGTGCCGCAGCTGAATCCTTACAAAAAAAAATTACACAATAGCATAATGAGATATCCGGGTGGGAAGAGGAAAGTGGTGTACAAAGTGAGGGCGCCATTAATGGAAGTGAATCCTGGTTCGAACGAAATTCTGAAGACGGTAGCGGTGCGATACCGGAACATGTGCAATACCTTGTTAAACGCCGTGCGCCGATGCTATGATGAATATTCCTGTACAGATGAGGTGTTTGATGATTCGTGAGGTCGTAACGTAGCTACTGACATCCAACTGTCCTCACTAACGTCAAGCGATCTCGAGATCCTCCAGGTCGAGCTCGCAACTAGTAATTGTCACTCGGGCGACGATTTTCAGTCCCTGGATGGATCGGGGTTGACAACGTTTAGCTGCCGTCCGTAATCCCGACTATCATCGATGCTCGCAAGACTGTCTCGACTTTCGTTGGAGCCGTGGAAGGTCAACACAGCCCTAGGATTAAGCCTCGAGTCGACCAGTACGGGCTGGCTATATCTGCGATCAGATGTAGACATGGGTCCAATGGAATCATCATCACGCCGACTTCTTTGTGATCCAGACGTTGCAACTGTCGCTTGAGGATATTGCAGGTTCTTCTCGACACCGTGACCACCGAGCAGACCGGCTTTACTCATAGTACTCGTATTGCGGTTTAGACCCGATTGGCCACCCTCGCCACCCATCTGCTCGCGTTGCTGCTTTCTCCTGCGCCACAGGAGGAAAAGGATGCCGCCAACGATGGCGAGAAGTCCGAGGACACCTCCAACGACCCCGCCGACGATTCCACCTGTATTGGACTGGCTGTCGTTGCTATCGCTGGTCTGGCCGCTGGCGGGAGTGGGATCAGGCGTGAAGACGACGGTGCGGGTGACAATGATGCCGCTCTCAGTGACGACGGTTGCCGTTGTCTTGGGCTCTTCTGTCGTAGTCGGCGGGTCGGCAGAAGAGGTGGGACGCGTAGTAGAAGCCGGTTGTGTGCTCTGCTTACAAAAAAGTCAGCCTTTAGGTAGTGAGGGCATGAGTACGGCCAACCAAGATAGATCGCAGCTTGCTAAAAGCAATGGTGGAAGAGGTAGGACGCAGTTCGGTTGTAGCGACAGTGGAGAAGAAAGAATGTACTTGAGTAACGGAGACGGTGGTAAAAGAAGAACGCAGTTCGGTCGTGGCAACAGTGGAGAAGAAAGAGTGCACCTCAACGAAGGAGACGGTGGAAAAGGAAGAACGCACTTCAGTCGTAGAAACAGTAAAGATGGAAGTAATGGGGGAGAAGACAGTCGTGACCTGCGGTGCGCCCACAACTGTCTGGACGACTGTCTGTGGATTGGCCGTCACCACTCTCGTGACTACGGATGGCGAAGCCTGAGCTTGCTGCCAAACAAGTCAAATACAGATCACGAGGGCATCATGGACACTCATGCTAGATGGGGGAGAGAAGAAAAAAAAAGGAAATGGTGCAGCCGAGGCAAGAGCGGAGAAAAGGTGCTGGTAAGAGAAGAAACAGGTAGTACTGACAGTCGGCGCCTCGGACGAGGGCGGTTTCTCTGTCGGAGATGGGGGAGGGGCGGCACTACTCACGTCTGTAGCAGAGGGCTGCGAACCGCCTTGAGTACCAGAGGGCGATCCGGCGAGTTTGATGTAGATGTAAAGACCTTTGTCCTTGTCGCCGCAGTGTTCGACTGGGAAGCCTGGGCAGCCCACTTGACAATTGCTCGTGTCTTCTTGTCGTGCAGGAATGTAGTTGGTACACCAGCAGTCGGTGAACTGTATGACGGCGAAGGCATAAGTACCAAGACTGTTACAGTGATCTGTACATTTACCGTTTGACTGGTATGGCCAATTGACTGCGAGTGTGTCAGTGGTGTTGAGGCGAGGTTTGGAGGGGGAGTGGACGTACAAGCATCGCCCGAGGCGGTGTTCTGGTTTGAGCAGTAAGGGGCGTCAAAAGCGACGGTGAGGGATGAACTCAGGAGCGCCATCCAGGCGGCAGCACGACGTGCGAGGTCTGATCTCAACATGATGCCCATGTTTGCAATGGCGGGGCGATGGAAAGTGGGTCGATGACAGTGCGATGGGTGGTATTCATGCAGATGGAATACGGGTGGGGGAACAGACGTTGGTGATTACGTCGTAGCTCTCTCCCTCTCTCTTGTGATGTGAAAGCTGCTGTAGGTTGGGTGGACAGTGAAGCGCGAGTCAATCAAGCGGCGCTTGGGTAGGCGGAGGAAAAGCGATTGAACGCCTCCAACGACGTGAGCGAGCCGTAGGGGTGGGGGACAGGGTGTATGATTGCGTGGGCACTGGTTGGTGTAGATGCGGTACTCGAGCACCTCTATGCGGCGGGGGAGGGCAGATGGCAGGTTGGGCGTGGTAATGGTAGTGGCAGTGGCGTGAGGTTGGTGGTACCGAAAGCGAGAATGTTGTTGGCAGGGCTGGGGATGCGTGCATGCAGTTTTGGACGCCCAGCGCGTACCCGAAAGCGTCGCAAGCGAGCGAAGAGATGGTGATGGTGACAGGTAACAGTGAGGGTGAGGGCGAGGGCGGTGACTGTAATGGTGAGGGTGAGGGTGGTGACTGTAATCGTGGTGATGGTTGTGGAATAGCGGACTATTCACTCAAGGGGCTGGTCAGCATTGCTTATCGCTGTGAACGAGAGACCAGACGGGAGTCGTCGGCGTAGGGGAAGGGGCAAGGGGCAAGGCAAGCAAGAGGCGATGGATAGGGTAGCCGTAGAGTTGCAGTAGAGTTGCAGTAGAGTAGCAGCAGCAGCAGCAGCAACAACAACAACAGCCAACAGCCAACAGCCAACAGCCAACAACAACAACAGCAGCAGCAAGAGCGGCGGGCGGGCGGGCGGGCGGGCAAAAGCTTTTGCTGTTGAGGAAAGAAAGCTGGATGGAGAAGGGGCCATTGTGGGCCAAGGGCACTTCTTGCCTGCCCTGCAACTGCCAACTGCAACCTTTCCCTGGAACTAAGCCAATCAGCCCCGGCCAACCTTGCCACTTGACTAACCTGGCCTGGCCTGGCCTGGCCTGTCTCTGCGCCTGCCTGCTACTCTACCTTGGGCCGTGCTGAAAATCAGTTCCCGCTTTGTTCCCTGGTTCTTTGCTTTCGGCCCCAAGGACATGCTCCGCCTTCATCCGCCTTGCTTTTTGTCCACCCGCTGTGCCGCACTGGATTCTCTAGGCGAAAAGGAGGAAGCATGGCGATGACAATGACAATCAATACCAATCTACTAGATCAAGTGTAGGTGTGTGTATGATACTGTACTAAACAGCCAAGTACACTTGCCCCTTCTCCAGAGGAAGAACTGGGTACTATCTACCCAAAGATACAGTACATACCTGCTGTACGCCTACTAGGACGCGCCACCTTCCTTCCTGCCCAAACATGAAGCTCATCCACACGCCGACACTTTGGTTGTACCACGACCCGATTCAGCCCTGTCCTGGAATCAGGTAAAGATTCTGCGTCTGGCCATGGAGGAGACTGGCCCTCCCACTAGAGTACTCTACTGCCATGTACTACTACGTACCAGGTAGGCAATCAACAGCAACAGACAACAGGGCTGCTGCAATCCAGCCGATCTCCTCTCGACAGCAAGCTATGACGCAAGAGGCTGACTCGCTTGCTCTCGCTCACAGGACACCCTATGGCCACGGACCGTTTGCAAAACCGCCAGTGTTGTCGATAGTGCGATCGTCAGGGGGTCAGAGTCGGTAAGCGCTACTGTGCCCTTCCACACCCTCTGTCTAGTAGAGAGTACCATGGGGAGACCAAAGCACGGTCAGGCAGCACACTGCGGGAGAGGAGAAGAGTCGACGCTTTTCGAAGCCCGTTGTCGTCATAGGGCAGCACCAGGCACATGACTGGCTGGTTGCACCATCGACGCGTAACTGATCGATGGCCCGAGGGGTTAGCGATGCGCACATGATGCGCGATCCGAACAGGCAACATCCTTACTGCCAACCCCCTCCACACCCCTACTCCTAGCTCCACCACCATGTGTCTACATACTAGTACAGTCGGAGATGAGCATGTCCACCCTTTATACTTTTGGCTTTTGGCTCTTTGCACGGCATCCACCGTACGGCCCCCGTAGAAATGACTGCCCTACCTGCCGTGTGTACCTGGGTATGTACCACACCATCGACCTAGGGTAGATGACAGGAACGAACAGCAAACCTTCAAGGGCTCGAAACCTTGATGCAGCTCCCATGTACTCATGCGCTCGGGTAGTTTGAGTATCATGTGATTGAATAAACAAAAACCTTGGCACGCATGCCAATACATCCATGTACCAAGTATAGAAAGCTCAATCCTGCTCTGCGCTGCAGATTTGGTTTAGCCCCGCCTCGTTCATTGAGTCACTCACGACGAGCATGTGGTGGCATGGTCGGTGTCGGATCCTCCCGCCTCCTCGTCCCATCATCGGAGAAAATAACCAAGAACAATTTCCTGTCTTCGCTTCAGGATGGCGGCTTTCACACGACAACTGGCCTGGCCCAAAAGGTTTCTGCCAAGCGCTCGGAAAGTGTCGAAGCCGGGACGGTTCGGAGCGTCCAAGACTTCACAACTCATCAAAACCCTACTCTAGGTACCACTACTCTTGCCCTTGCTGGGTGCGGTGCCGCAAAGGCTCAAGGCGGATCTGTCATCATCTAATTAATTGTATTGTACAACTCGTCTCCTTTACCACATGTACCTACTAGGTACAAAGCAGAGTAGATGCTCGCTTGTGGACAAGGCCCCCTGCCCCATCTTGCTAGTCATGAATGGATTGCTTCTCGTACTCTACTCAATAGGTCCTCGGAATCCTGCAATAGATACCTTGGACGGTACCGTCAGTTGCTGCGCGACACTGGATTGTCTGTTGCCATGGCATGATGTGACGACCTGATACCACGGCTTTTAGCCATCTCCAAAGAAGCTACAAGCGTCCACGAGGATGGAGAGCACACAAAAGGTGCTTTGGACAGACTGGGTTCGACTAGGTTCTGCATCGACTTGGGCCGTCATGTTTTCATGATTCAGAGGGGAATACAAATGCGCTCGCTAAAGCCATGTGTATGAGCAAATGCTTCTAGACATGGCACACGTTGCTCCCACCCATCCGTCGAATGATGAGGCCTCACTAACCCATCCTCGTGATGAACAAAGGTCACCACCACAGCAAGTCCACTTGCCCGTTCTCCTTCTACCTGCCAGACCTTATTTATTTTCCCACTGCAAACAAGTCGACAATGTCCTAGGCACCATCACCCCATAGCCCAACCACTTGCATGGCAAAGGTCAGCCCAGCCAGGACTGTCTTGAGCCTCTCTGTGGACTGCCGTCTCTCGACCGCCTGCCTCACCTGCTCGCCATTGACATTGTCGCCTTGTGCCTCGAGATCAAGCACCTGCCGCTGCTCACTGCTTCCTTGGCTCAGTGTGACGGCATAATCTACGCCTGGGCCCGAGGCAAAAGCAAAGATGGAGGTGTAGAGTAGATACGGGTGCCGGGCCTGCCGTGGGGACAGCAGGTATGCGGAGAACAGGGTAAAGGTGGTCATGTGGCGGAGATAGGAGGATAGAGTCGAGGACGAGGAGGCGAGGTAGGTCAAGGATGTCCGCGCATTGACGGCCGTGGGCAGAGCGAGCAAGGCGGGCAGAGCGAGTGTGGAAAGGGTTGCAGAGACGCCCTGTGGATAGAGAAAGGAAAGCTTAGTAAGAGAAGGTGGGGAGGGCTGTGTGTGTGTGTGTGTGTGTGTGTGTGTATACAATAGGCAGGAGAGGAGATGGCAGCGTGGGATAGACGTACCGTTGCGATGCCGAGCGAGATTGTGCCGACGAATTTACATATGGTGACGGTTTGAGCCGCCATGGTGTTGAGGTTGGAAGTTGAAGTTGAAGCTGCAGTTGGTGTTGTGGGTCTTGACGTCTTGACGATGATGGCGATGGTGATATTGTGTGGTTGTTGTCATTACAAGTTGTGTTGGCGCCGTGCTTGTTGGCTGCTGTCATTCGACGACGACGACGATTGAAGGATGGCGTAGTAGCGTTGGCTGTTGTTGTCAATGCAGCGTCACCTTTTGCCATGCAGAGGTTACAGGCGGGGAGTTGATTCGGAGCATGTCGAACTTTTGGGGACCGATCATCATCTACTTCGGAGCAGGCCAGCTAGCTCCAACCCCAGTCCGCTCTTTGGAACGGACCTCGGCTTGTTCAGTCCCACCGTCCACGGCGACGATTACTGACGGCCTGACCGGCCAACAACAACCGAACGAAACATTGCTTCGCTCTGCCTTTTGACGGGATACAAATACGTGGCTACTCGGCTTGGATTCTGAAGACGTTTGTGTGTATTGGTATGCCCATACTCATGCTTGTCTAGAAGAGCATTGTATTACTCGACTATTGATTGTACACACATACACACATTCACAACGCACAACGCACAACGTACCTATCCCATCACCACATCATATCACCTCACGTCACATCGCTGCCATCATGCCGCCGGCCAGAGACGAGTACTTGAGCAATGTGTGGAGAGATGGCATTTTTGGTAGGCCAGGACGAATCGCACGCAGAAGCCATTCTATTGCTCCTTTTGCTGACACGCACCCGCTCCTATGTAGACAACAAGGTCGTCTTCTGCACTGGCGGCGCGGGCTCCATTTGCTCCGCCCAAGTGCGCGCCCTCGTCGCCCTCGGTGCAAACGCCTGCATCGTCGGCCGCAACGTGGAAAAGACTGAGCGCATGGCCAAAGACATCGCCACCGCCCGCTCCGGCTCCACCGTCATAGGCATCGGCGCCATCGATGTGCGCAAGCCCGAGCTACTCGAAGAAGCCGCAAGCCGATGCGCCAAAGAACTCGGTGCCATTGATTTTGTCATCGCGGGCGCGGCAGGCAACTTCCTGGCCCCGATAGACCAGCTCAGTCCCAATGCAATGAAGAGTGTCATGGATATTGACGTGCTGGGCAGCTACAACACTCTCAAGGCCACGCTTCCCTACCTGGCAGACTCGGCCGCCAGGCACAAGGCAGATGGGCGCGCACCACACGCCAAAGGAACCGGTGGCCGAATCATCTTTGTGAGCGCAACTATGCATTATATGGGTATGCCACTGCAAAGTCACGTATCAGTCGCCAAAGCCGGTGTAGATGCCATGGCCGTGTCTGTCGCTATCGAGCAGGGTCCCAAGGGCATCACCTCCAATGTCATTGCCCCGGGGCCCATTGGCGGCACAGAGGGTATGTCACGCCTCGCCCATCCAGAAGCCGAGAAGAAGTCGATCAAGAGCATTCCTCTGGGCCGATATGGCACCGTCAAGGAGATTGCCGATGCCACCGTCTACCTCTTCTCTGATTCGGGCAACTATGTCAACGGCGAGACACTCGTCGTCGATGGTGGGGCCTGGCATACCGCTGGGTTTGGCAACGCATTCGAGTATCCAGATTTCCTGCTTTCTGGTCAGGAGGTGACGGGTGTGGCAGGGGGCAAGAAGCCAAAGTCGAAATTGTAGACGAGCTTGTCTTTCAGCATACTTTTCTACATCCAAATGATACCCAGAGGTTGGCAGCACTTTGTTTGCCAGTCATCATCGCATTCCTACTTCCCTATCTGTATATGGGATAGCTCCTTGTCTTGCTATGAACGTGCAAAGATGGTTATTTTTTTTTGATTTCACAGCATGTAGCTACCTCCATCCGCGAACACTTACGTCAACCGCTCTGCTCCCTCCCTAACAGCCTGTCCATAGTCCCCCGCATTCGGGGTTCGACAGATTGTATGTGTATGATACTTGGCCGGCTCCTTATTTGTCAAAAACACCCCCGAGTGATGATCCAGTTCAACCAGGATGACGGGGCTTTGGATGCGGAAGTAGAATGCATCATCGGGCCCATAACCGCCAATCCAGCAAAAGTATGTTTCCGAGAAGTGCTCTTCCACTTGCTTGAGTCGTAGTTCCCGCGCCTTGATGGGATGGTACAAGAGGAATTCGTTGCAGATCTCAATGATGAGCTTCCGCTGTTCGTGCGAGAGGTCAGAGGCCACGACGCCTTCATAGGGCACGACACGATTATCTCTAAATGCGCCGCATCGGTGCCTCTGGTCATCCGGCCCCCAGGTATCGGTAATCAATTCATCGGCTTTGCTCTGGTCGTTGTTGGAATTGCCATAGGCTTGCTTCATGCCCTCGTCTCTCAACTTTTTGAATGTCTGCGCTTTCTCTCGTTGTTCTGGCCCAAGGCTCTGCATCAACTGGAGTCCCAAGTTGCCTTCTCTGTGAAGAATCTCGGTGCCCTTCCACTCCCCCGCGTCGATGATGTTAGGCTCTGCGCCCGTGAAAGAAGGCGTGAGCGAGATAAAAGGGCCTTTGAAGAAACAGGATATGCATAGGTGGTGGCCATATAGCAACCAACCCCACGGGGAGGATGGGGAGGTAGAAGGCGTACCGAAGACGAGAAAGTTGTATGAGTATTTGTTCATGATGTTGGGTAGGCGGACGACTTCGCCTAGGAAATGATTGATACGCATGGCCGAGAGCGCCTTTTGAAATCCTTCTGGCGAAAGGGATGCTTGGACAACAGAGAGTATGCCTTGCGCCGTGTCCTCAGGAACTGACCCGTTAGTCAGACGCAAAGGAGGGGTGAGCAGGAGGGAAATGGCCAAGGTCGTAACGTACCCTCTTCGAGACGGAGCCCGAATGGTCGAAGAAGGAATTCAGGGTTGCTCCATGCTCTCCATTCTCGCGCATTGATGGGATAGGTGAGCTTGCCTTTCATCTCGACACTTAGACTGCCGAGTAAGCTCTCTGCCTTCTGGACCGCCAGTTCAACGTCTGGATTATTCCCATCTTTCGCCGAGAAGAGCGCCTCTCGTACTTTTCCGTCATTCGTGACGCCAGTAAAGGGCTCAGCCAGCAGCTTCTCCCACACCGTGGTCAAGTCGTAAAGCCACGGCGGTGCGCGATTATCTTGCATGCATTTTGTGTATTCGTAGACGCTCTGCTTTGCAGCAGTAGTAAAGCGCGGACTATCCAGAGCAGGGAGGTGGGCGCGAAAGCCAGCAGAGGCCTCGTCAAAAGAGCTTCTTCGTGCCATGCTGCAACCTCAAGAATGTCAGGGCCAGTGTCAAGGCTGATACGCGGGCTTGCGACAAGCGAACTTCTTTGCTATAAAGTGGCAAAGGGAAGTGGAGCGCGATTGGACTAGTAGAGTACGATGTAGTGGTGCGATCTCCAGTCTTGTTGTCTGCTGGAGCTTACCGTAGGCATCGTAGGTATCTACGGTACCGGTAGGCTCCAGATCTGGCTCCGGACAGTCAGGGCGACTTTCGGGTGAATGCTCTCCCAAAGCTTAGGGAGAAGCCTGCATACTAGAGCAACAGTCCGTGTATGTTAGGTGTGAATCCTCTACCGGTACAGTAGAGGTTGATGAGATTCACCGTGACGTACGGACCACGGTAAGAATTCAAGAACCCCACACGCAGCCTCCGAGCGGCGGTCGTTGCGGGGCAAGCGACCCCTCATCGTGAGCCCGCCCATCTACGTAGTTACATGGCACCGTCTTGTGGGCTCTTGAATGTTGGTCGCTTTTGCAGCATCCCGCTTCTTTTCGCCATGGAATGTCAGGTGAGCCAGGTGGCTTACAGAGCAGTAGGGTATGACAGATGTAAACTGTGTGAAGAAGATGGGGTCTGTACAGAGAGGGCATTTCCAATCGTCGCTTGCGCTCTATTTCATGGAACCACTGGTCGGAACATGTCGTTTTTTTTTTGTTTTATTTGTTGTTTTTTTGCCCAAGTGGTGTACCGGTACCGGTACCAGATTAGCCCACATCTATACGCTCCAGATCGCACTGGTGAGTGTGAAGTATGGTACTGGGATCTACATAGTGTCAGTCGACTTGAACACAAGAGCGACTGCGACTGGTTGCATCAAACGTGCGGAAGTATCCAACATGCAGACGTGTTGGTCAACTTCTTTGAAACTGTCCACATTGATCTACGTCCACAGTACAATGGAGGGAGCTCCGAGTACCCATGTGGAGCAATGCCCACAATAGGCCACTAAGATCGGTCAGCAGTCAGCAGAGTGGGAAAGGCCCGATGGTAGAAGAAAGGCTACAACGGTAGATTTGGCGCAAAGGGTCACAAGCCCGACAAAGGTCCGGATGCCGGTGTGGAGGAGTATTTGCTGAGATTTTGGCCGGATTTGCTGGATGGGGTGACTTGTTGTCAGTGATGGCAAGACACCGCATACCGGTACCTACAAGCCGTACGACATTTAGGTGATTGCCATGACCACGGTAGGTAGAGATGATGCATTTGTAGGCCACAATCACACCTGTACATGGTGACAGACTTACGGTGCAAGGAAACTACAAACAAATACCGTATGACATCGACCTCTCGTATGTTGGGCTTGAATGCGCCGTAGGTACAAACAGCCCGTGATTGCCGCTGACACGGGCAATGCTAGGTAGAAACAATAGATACAACAGATACAATAAGATACAATGGATAAAATAGATTCAACCTCCGCATACCCAAGCCACATGTTCGATCGTGAAGGTCGTGGTGGTGGGGCTGATACTCGACGCCTGTGACACTAGGGAAACAATCCCCCCGCGCCGGTGGGGTGTGCCGGCAATTGGTCCGCTTCACGACGACGACAACAACCTTATTAGTATGGATCGAAAGGATGCATGTAAGCCTTCTTTGTATATTCTCTCGACATCAAATCCGCCAATTTCCTGCGACTGATTTACAGGAAATTCACTTGCGGCCACACACATTCTTTCACCTACATACTTTAGTAGGCGGTTAAGACTTCTCCCGCTCACAACGATTCATACTCAAACCAGTGGAAAGCGCCTGGAACAACTGGCAACTGCTGAATCAAAATCAAAAGATATAGAAGCAAGCAAGAGTCCTCGGAGAAGACGGTGTACAGACCGCACGATTCTGTCATCAGTTTGGAGTCTTTGCCTCAACTCAAGCAAGCTTGAATCTTTCCGGACGGGACATACCTCTCACCAGATATCAGTTACCATGGCACACAACCTCAGGATAGCTGTGATAGGGGCAGGCATGGGCGGCTTAGCTGCTGCATTGTCCCTTGCCAAAGCTGGTCATAAAAACGTCACAGTCTACGAACACGCTCCAGGCATGGGCTTCGTAGGTGCAGGCATCCAACTTGCGCCCAATATGGCGCGCATTCTTGACAGGCTGGGCTGCTGGAAGGCCATCGAAGCGGAGGCGGTCCAATGTGCCAACACATCTATTCGAGAGGGAAGCTCGGATAAAGAGCTGGCATGTGTGGACTTGGGCTCTGTTCGGGACAAATTTGGATACCCACACATGGTCGGTCACAGAGCAAGCTTAGCCAACGGACTTTACGAAGCTTGCCAAAGAGAAAGCGGAATCACATTCAAACTTGGAAGCCTTATTTCAGATCCCAAATTCGGACCCAACCCATCCTTCAGCGTTACACCAACACAAGGAGGAGAAACTCACAAGGTTGAATGTGACATTTTGATCGCCGCCGACGGGGTCAAGAGCAACATTCGAGTTGCCATGCTCAACGAATTGGGCATCACGGGCTCGGTCCGCGACTCGGGACAGGCTGCATACCGTATCATGCTGACCCGTGATCAAATGAAGCACGACCCGGAACTCCTCAAACTCATCGATTCTGACACAGTCACACGCTGGATCGGCGAGAAGAAGCATATCATTGCGTATCCCATTCACAACAAGCAGATCTACAATCTGAGCACAGCACAACCCGATGTCAACTTTGCTGGTGCGCCCGACGCGCAATATACCACGAAAGGGAGCAAGTCAGCCATGATGAAAGTTTACGACGATTTTTGCCCCATGATACACAATATGCTGAACCTGGTTCCCGAAGGCGATGTCGTTGAGTGGAAATTACGAGTCCACGATCCATTGGCCACATGGATTCATGGAACTACAGCGCTCATAGGCGACGCCTGCCATCCCACCCTTCCTCACATGGCCCAGGGCGCAGCTCAAGCCATTGAGGACGGCGCGGTTCTTGGCGTTGTCCTGAGCCCATCACGAATCTCAGATCGCCGCCCTGAAACGATTGAACGCGCACTGCGCCTCTACGAGAAGCTCCGCAAACCAAGAGCAGAGGCATTAGTGGAGATGGCGGCTGAAAGCGGGCGAGCGATGCATCTCGGTGAAGGCAAAGCCAAAGAAGAACGTGATAGAGCCTTTGCGGCTGCAAAAGCTGGGTCTGGATCAGTGCCAGACAAGTGGGCAGACGCAGATGTACAAGCCCGGGTTTATGGGGTGGACGTTGTCTCTGATGCTGAGAAGTTATGTCTAGAGGAGGGACTAATCGCGAAACTGTAAGACGTGTTATCAAGTATCATAATATGGTAGTGTATTGCTTGTACAATTCGATCAAGGACTCCTCAATATGTCACTCTATATATACGTATGTATATCTGTTTTTGATTCTTTACAAAATCTCCTCATTTAGATTACCATGATATACCACAGAAGCTCCTACCGTAGTCGGGCACTATGTTAAATAAGTTGGAAAATCGGAAAGGTCTATTTGACTTTGCGGTAGATCAGGGTACAGGGTGAACTATAAGTGTGGGAAACTCATACAAGCCCAGGCCAGAATCACTACGTTGAATCAATTGGACGAAAGCTTTTGGGACATGTAATCTTGTCATGACTAGGATGTTCTAAGCATCTTATGCAATAATGTTGTGCAAATAGCCATTACGCCATATTACGACGGGGTAACAGCCATCTCGTAGGTAATGATGTCCCCAATCCCCCACTGCTATAGGTACTAACAGCTGTCGCAATGAAAAAGGCCAGGGCGTGGTCACTGCACAGTCATGGGTGCCACAATAAAGACTATTATCAGATTCTAGACTCATGTTTCCTCCATGGGCATATGATTTCATTAAATACCTTGCAACACCCTAGGGAGAATGGTCTCTGTTGTGTTCCAAAGCATGGCGGCATTGTGCGCGGCCCAGGCAGCGCCAGTGTACCAGGTCGATCGAAGGCCTTGCAGAGCGTTTACCTGGCGAATGATATCACCACGCATTTGGTCGACAGTCCATCGCCGGTACAACATGCCGTGGTCATCGAATGACTTGAAATCGAGTCGGTTGATATCGCCTGTAGGAAGTGTTCCAGCGTCCATCATTTTTTGCAAAGACGTCCGCACAACGTCTTTTGCGCCATCCATGTTCATGCTCATCGGTGTAGCAACGACAACGCGGTACAAGGGTCCGGACGATGAGTTACCTATGAAATTGAAACTTTGCAGAAACGGGATGACAGGAGTAATTCCGTGGTTTGCGGGTGCAGCTTCCGGAAGTGAGTTGAAAACGGCATATGCTGGCAAGGATGGGTGAGCGACGATTCCAACAAAGTAACGATCGCCGGTGTGTGAATGGAGAAGCTTCTCCTCTGTTGCGTCCAAGTCGAAAACTTCTCGTGTCAAAGTCTCTGGTCCTGCCGAAATCAAAAGTCGTTTGGCATTGATCGTGGTCATGCTTCCGTCCTTGCGCCTGACTTGGAGCTGAACCCCCTTTGCCGACCTTTTGCTAGATACCACTTGACTTTCAAACCAGACATTCTGGCCCAAGTACTCAGTCATCTTGCCGAAAATTTCAGAATTGTTACTCGAGACTGGTTGCATCGTGCCTCGAAGCACACTGGGATCCATTCCCTTCCACATGTCAATCATACGTGATGTTCTCGGATCGATGACAACAGCGCCCCAAATTCTGGAAGTTGCGGCCTCGACGTCGTACTTGCGGGCGAACTCAGCCCAAGGCAGCAAGAGATCTTCGGGAATCTGGTTCCCAGCGGGAAAACCTGAACTCGTGGGCAAGATCATGCTTTCGTATTTGTTCCATTCAACTGCAAGCCTGCGAAGGGCAGCATTCATCTCTTCTTGACTGGGTGCGGTATAATTGACCACTTGACCATCCCGGAAATCAGCGTAAAGAGTTTGTGATGCTCCAAAAACAGGGGCCTGAGTAGCAACGTTAAACCTAGCGAAGAAGTCTCGAGATATAGTCATGTTCATGAACACTTCAACTCCATAGTCGAAGGGGTTCCCGGTAACAGGATCACGCCATGTTGAAGTATGCCCACCCTGCACACGATGATCAGCTACCATGTCCTCGAAAAACAGAAACATGCTAAATGAAACTCATAAGAAGTTGACTTACCAAGCGGTCCTCTTTCTCGATCAAAAGAAACTTCTTGCCCATATCTTGGACTCGCACTGCTCCATAAGCTCCAGAGGCACCACCGCCTATGATGACAACATCCGTATTCACAACTTCGGATCTCCCATAATTCGATGGTCTAATGAATGACGCTGATGCCCCTAATGAGAAGAGGAGGAACTTTGCAAGAGACATGATGATTGCGATGCCCGGTATTGGTGAGGCTGATGTTTGGCCACTCACTCCTACCTTAATATACTATAGATACTTCTCCAAAGCCTCGGGTTCTTATATCACTCAAGACCATGACGACCGGGCATGCCTAGTCGAAAAATTTATTCATCGCGAAGCTGTGGGGCTGAGTGAATCATCTCATTGTGATCTAGAAACAGAAAGCAGAACTAATGTTAGAGAGAAAGCTTAAAGTTTAGACTAGCCTAGTTTATCCTTGATCATCCGAGTGTAGGTAGGTGGCCCGTACGGACTCAACGGTTAGACAGCGCGAAACACAACAGAGGATTAGTTTGATCTCGCTTCCACGGCGCCATAGCAATCTAACAGCACAATATTCGAGTGACCCCCAGCATGGCACTGACTCTACCCATGGATTTTTAATAACTGATGTCCCCAAATCGTTTGAAATAAAGTACCGTACAATTTATCCACCTTTGTGGTGGTAGGCTTCCATGCAGGCTCGGGGCCCAGCACAGCTCCGAGTTCCGTCAAAGGCTCTACGTAATTACCGTACCTCCACGCAATTACTCATGAGTACCGTCACCAAAGTACAGACGGTTAGCTCTCGAGTAGTTACCTACCGGTATGCATATATCATATACCCAGCCGGCGATTTACTATGGATCCAGACATCCAGGTTGTGATGGCTTGGCATATGGGCCGGTACAAGGATTCAAGTTGGAAAGCTGAAAAGGAAAGGCAAGATCATCGTGTGTATGGCAGATTGAACTTTCAGTATGAAGGAATGTTGAGATACTTACTACGGTCAACAGCGATGCGTGATCAACAGGTAGTCTTCTTCCGATGGTAACCCCCCAATTCCGCTACAAAGGTGCATATAATAGGTAGTGCCGCACCCTACCTATAGTACGTGCTGTGTACGTAAAGATCCCTTTCCCCGTTCCTACATGATGCAAATGAGCATATTAAATATAGTCCTTTTGTGGATCCATAGCCAGACGACGCAGGCCGGACGAAACAGTTCCGCATAACTGCCGACGTGCACTGAGGCGGAATCTTCGGATCGAGTACCTAGGCACCGTACCTTGTCAAGCCAGTTTTTCTCATTCATGAAATTTAAGAAATTCGACGTAATATGGTTTCCCATCCAATCGTGGTTCTTATTACTCATGCGATAAGTAAGAACTACTGTCATCGCAAGCAGACTGTATTGTAATGCGGGCGTGCCGGTGAACAGGGGTTGGTGATGTCTTTGCACGCGGAGATAAGGCGTCGGAGTTTACATACGTTAGGTACCGGTATGGTACCGTACACCCCGATGTGTACGCCATGAAACTACCACAGTATCTGTACAATGTCTCTTCTACATCATGATACGCTTGAATTTTTTTAGTATAGTCTTGTAAAGTGAAGAGAAAGCTCTAGAATAACAACACAATACAGAGTCATCTCGATATAGCATAGCTTAGCTCGGTTACTCCCGCGGGGGCATATTGCAGAACGGTATATATCAAGAGACCTGGCCCAGTAGCTGTGGCAAGTAACTCGGCGCACTATTAGACGACCAAGCCTCTTGGCCTTACTTTTCGGCCGTAAACTACAGCCATATTCTCCTGGATACCATACTTGGCTCCGTTCTTGGGTCCCTACGTCCCTACCCGACCTCAGTTCAACCATTTCTTGCTTCGACCATCAACCATCATTCACACCATGGCCTCCAAATCGTCCGCCCTCGGACTGTATGTTGATGCAGAGGGTAATTTCACGACGATCAGCGATATTCCCATGCCGGAGCTTGAGGATGACGAGATTCTCGTCAAGGTTCTGTATTCTGGCGTCAATCCTGCAGACTGCAAGCACTCCACGGTGATTGGCATCAAATCGACCATCATGGGATACGACTTTTGTGGCGAAGTGGTCAAAGTGGCTGGTCCAAAAACACAAGGCTTCTCACCTGGAGATATTGTCGGGGGTTTCACGCTCGCCACTCTTGGCAAACCACTGAAGTATGGTGCACACCAAGAGTACCTTGCAACTCCTGTGGAACTGGCATTCCATGTTCCCGCCAACCTTCCGCACACCGATGCTGCGGCTCTCACGACCGTGGTAACCACCGCTGCTGACGGCCTTTATAACCAATTTGGTCTTCCGCTTATTGGTGAATCACCATCGACACAAAGTGAGGTCAAGATGGGACCTCTTCTTATCTGGGGTGGCTCGACAGGTGTAGGTCTTTCCATGCTACAGCTTGCTCGTGCCAGTGGAATATCTCCCATCTTCGTCACTGCGTCTCCAAAGCGACATGCACTTCTGCAAAAATATGGGGCCACTGCTTGTTTCGATTATGCAGCACCAGATGTAATGTCGCAAATCCAGAGCGCAGTCGACAAAGCCGGAATGGGGCCGATTGCTTACGCTGCGGATTGCGCAGGAGCAATGGGTTCGGCTATGCAGATGAAGGCTTGCGTAGGGGACGACGCATTGCTGCTTTCTGTGATGCCGATGCAAGACAGCTGCTTCAAGTTTCCACTGGCCTTAAAGAGCCGCACGCTTACGTTCCAATTTCCCGGAGCTCCCACTACCACTGAGATTCCGGGGCAACCGGAAGAATGGGCGAAAATGCGCAAGGCTCTGGAATGGGCGGTGAAGAATTACGGTTCGGGGTTCAGCTTGCCTTTGGTGGAGGTGTTCAAAGGCAGTACGGATGAGCTGCTACAGGCCATCAAGTTGACGGCAGAAGCAGGGAGGTTCGGAAAGCTTGTGATACAGCACCCACTTTTGCCTACTGCATAAGTCTTGCACACTGCTAGTAGCAGATGCCAAAATCAGTTCAAATTGAATCTTATGAGAAATGATTGAACGCTTAGAACATCCCTGGAATTTCCTTTCACACTCTTGTCATATTGTGTCATAGTCGAATGAAAGTCACTGTTCCCATCTACATACTGACAACAGTAATCTGCGACCTAGAATGCACAGATGTTATTTATTCGCTAACCATGACTTAGGTAGTGCTTGTACGCCTAGATAATAACTATAATACTCATTTCTGATTTGAAAGAATCATTAGCTGCATGCATGGTGAACATAGACTCGGTGGGTGCAGTCTACCTACACTACGGTACAAAACCGGTTTACAGTAGCTATATTTATCTAAAGTAGACTAAGAAGTGGTTTAGGTAGAAGAAGTACACCTAAATAGGGTTTACTATACCATGTATTCTACTTTTACTTCTACTTCTATTAATCTACTGTTGCAGGAGGGATATCAACCGGATCACGGAGCATCTTGATCCGATCAACCCTGATCAATACCCCTGTATGACCCACTATCTGATCGACTGCCAGCTCACTGCCAAGTGCCCAACAAAAAGCAGGAGCTCTAGTAAGGAAGGTTTACCGATCATTCACCTTCTGGTAAGGGTAGCTGAAGCTCTATATATATGAGTACGATCGTAGTAGATACAATCCAATGATCCATCTCCCAAATCATTCCTGACCTCAGTGATCCAAATTTCCACATCTACTAGTTTCCTACTAACTATCTAAGTATTTTACCCCTCCTTTCTTTAATCTTCTTCACCACCTCTACCACCTCTATCACCACCTCTATTATCACCACCTCTATTATCACCACCTCTATTATCACCACCTCTATTATTACCACCTCCTATTAGTAAAAATATTATGACTTATTATTATATCATATATGCGTATATCGTGAAGCTAATCTTCTCTACCCCTTTTAGTCTTAGTTAGGTATTATAGCGTATAAGAGAAATAAAACTACTTTTTATACTTAATTTAAACCCCTACTATAAAAGTAAACTACTACTTTAATAAAAGTAAACTGCTACTTTAAACCTATTTATAGGTATATATAAGGGCAGTTTACACCTATATAGTAAACCCCTAGCGTACTATTCTACAGTAAACAATTTTTTACCGTAGTGACTGTTGTATGGCCTGGCCGAAATTTATAGTCAGTGAAGAATTTGAGATCGCGGCTGAACGAGGGCCAAGCTGCAGAAACCAAAGTGTAGTGATCAAAGAGAAAAGTATAATATTGAATCGCTCGAAGTGAGGCTCAAGCCTGAGCCGGAAGGGTGGTCAAGCCGCCCACTTGGTAAGCTAATATAGGGCACTATCTTTCTGCCGTTTTGGATGTAAGGCAATATACAACTTAGGTATCTAAGCACTTGGATTGAACATGATCTTGGTCTTGCATAAGTTGACTAACAGGCCCCTGGGGATGTCAGGACGCAGCTCTGGGGGCCTACCCCCACCACGCCAAGCAATCATAAAGGTACTTTAGTCTGTGGATACTGATCATCATGAGTGAAACGGTACATGCAAGCATATTGCTAAAGCCTTCACGAGGCTACTCTTACATGGGACTACACCATGTCTCCCACATGTGTAAACAAGGGTATAAGAAACCTAAGCAATCGATCGCATGTAAACCAGTTTAGTAGGATCACGCTTAGTATGTGTAATCGTATGTAAGATAGTATATCTTACATGCATAACATACCCTTCGTAGTCCATGCATTCCCCCATAGTTCAGTTGATGTATTATCACAGTCAATTACCATTAGCATCTCACAGGTGTGTTCACGTAGGTTTTCAATGTAGCTACCCCCAAGGAAAATATAGTAGATCATGAATAGCATGGATGTCACAATAGTAGAGGCCATATATAAGATATATAGCATGTGCCACAGTACGCTTCACAGACCTGTATAGCTTTACGCTATACGACCTGTATGGTAATCGATACGGTAGCTGCCCGCGCGCCACGCAACTCTGCTGAAATTCCTGATAAAGAAAGCAATTTGAACTGACTTCTGGGCTCATCGCGACGCATTGGGCAACAAGGGGCTAATCTGGGTACGACAAATACGAACTGTCGCAGGACTTGAAAGTTTGTGACCCATGCAAGTAATCCTTCCTGGCAACAATACGACATGGACTCACCTAATTTGTTGGGCGACATTTCGTATCTAGATCGCGATTCGTCTGATCTGCTTCCTTACGGAGATGGAGGGTTTGCATGCGCTGCCGAAACAGCAATACTGATCAACATTGGCTATTCTAGTCAATCATTCCTTCGACTCCGATGATAGCATTGCCCGTAAACTTGCCTAACACTACCAATTAAACGCTAGTTTCGAGTTCATTTACCGATTTGATGATCATAAAGATCTTCAAGTCTATGACAACAAAGATTCTTGAGCAAGTGCCGAAGACGCTGTTCGTGGAATACAACCACGCGCGCAACCCTACATCTCGCTCATCACCCTCGTCGTCCAGTCCTAAGCCGTGTGTTCTGCAATTGGTGATGACACTGTTGTTGAACTTTCATTTTGATGTTTTGCATTTTGCATTAAGGACCGTCAATGGCGGTATTGGAGTTTCTGGATGTCATCAGTAGGGTAACATGAGAGCCATTTGGGGAAAGGGCAGACTAAGAGCCAGTGGTGTGGCGGTATCTGGAACATGTCAAGAGTAATGATACAGCGGTTGATGTATGCTACAGACTAGCGTGACTACAGCACGTTGAAGAGCGGAAACCACAACGTAGTGCACTTCCATGTTTTTTTGTTAACCCGAAATTACGGCTTGAGCAGATCGAGAGGCTAAGCTCACGTATGATACCCAATAGGCGACATGGATACCTGATCCCAACGATGCTACACTTTCGAGATATACTGTTGGCATTTCTGTAACATGGGGAAGAAGGTGAACAATCGGGGTATCAAAGAATTCCAGAGAGAGAAAAAAAATATGCAGTTGGCCACCAGGTCACTTTGATCTGGAAAACCTGCAATAAGCGACAGGCAGAGGACATGGAAACGCCGAGTCTGATGTCTGGGTTCCCGTCGCCTAGCTCAAAAGCACAAAATGTGACGGGAGAATCAGGGGTGGAAGGTAGCAAGTACCCTATGATGACAGATATAGCACGAATGATAGTTCAGCCCGTGTACCAGCCCGACGATCCAACAGTCTGATGTTCTTGCTCGCGATGTGGTATAATGGGCTCGTGTATGTCGAAGGCCTCGATGAACATTTGCCAAGTTGGATAGTCTATACTAAAGACGGCCTGATGCTTCTGTACATTCTTTTCTCGCTGATCCGAGACGCCCAGTGGCTGTGCAGGTACTGGCATCGCATTAGCATGAATATTCTACGACCAGGAGCGAAGACTTACAAAGAAGAGGAAGACCATGCTCGTCCTTGGCTATCCTAGCGTTTCCTTCTCGCACTAGGAAACTGACGTAAAACAGATTCTCGACTGTCTGCCCAAAATCATGTGGATTGATAGTAAAGTCGAGTAAATTGACTGCTGCTTCCCCTGAAGGAGCTTGCGCGATCCTGAACCGCCGGAAAGCAGCGGCCTGGTGCACTTCAGTGAGATCATCTTCGGCAATGGGCTCTAATTCCTCTTCGACACCAGTCATGCCACGTTCCAGATGGTCCTGTAACCGCCCTCTGATTCCCTTGACGAGGTTGGAGAGATTTGAGTTTTCCGACTTTTGAATGTCGCCTTCTTGGATCTCCTGGGGTCGAGTAGCAGGGCCGACTGGTTGACGTTGCGACCGGGCTTTCCGTTGGGTAGTGGATACGCGCTTCTGAACCGATAGAGGGCCAAGCAGGAAACTTGTTGTTGGTGGCCGTCTGTTACAAGGGAAACATGCTTGTCTGCCCAGTAGGGCCCAATCCAGGCCATCGGGGTCCTCGTCTTCCTCGTCATCGCCTACAGGGATAGTCGGCGCGTCCTCTTCGCCAGCAACATGGCCACCAGACTTGATAAAGTATATACATTTGGATACAAACTGGTCCAAATCTATGCCGACACCCGCATTCCCTTGCATGCTGTTGTTAAGCTTCTTGCCAGCCAATTCACTCGCGTTGATCAGAAAGCGCGAGTCGAGTGCGGCGTCGGCAGTTTGTCGCACCTTGCCGAAGAGGTTGTTCTGCTTCTTGAGCGCCTCCAGCAGCATGCCATTGGGTTTGACGATCTCGTCACGATTGTCTGGTCTTGTCAGAATAGGGCACATGGCCATGGAGCAACTGTGACTACTCACCCTCCACCATGCGCTGGTGATCGCGCATGGTTGCACGTAGCCTTCGCCGTTGCTCAGGGTCTTGGTTCGGATTGTAGAAGCGCAAATGGCCCTCCTCTTCGGGCCCAGGCTGTGCTTGTGATGCCTCTGCGTCCTCTTCCTCGCCGTCTTCTTCCCGCGCCTCCCATCCTGAGTCGTGGTCGTATGGCTCATCCTGGTAGACCTCTGGCTCGCGCATGCGGTAGTCGCCAGTTCTTCGTCTTTTGGCGCCCGAAGCGCCCGTGATGGAGCCTGAGTCGGGCGTGGGCATTCGGGCAGATGCGCCCCGCAGTGGGCGCCCCTTTGACATTCGTGGTGTGGCTTCGCGTGAGGCCGGCATGTCATTCTCCTTGTCTGACGTCTGCGAGCGCGTGGGGCTCAGGACGGAATACGACGAGGTGCGCGTGTTGCCATGTTGTGGTGCTACCGAGGCGTCGCGGTATAGGGAATCGACGGTTGACGAGCGCGTCTGCTGGGGGGTGGCCGAAAGATGGGTGTTGAGACGCGCCATTTGTTGTTGTTGTTATCGCCAGGAATTTTCACCCTTATCCTCTAGTTGAATTTTTTTGTTTGATTGTTTTTTTTCGCACCATCGACGCAGACGGCGGGGCAGAAGGAGGGGGAAGGAAGGAAGTCTCTGTTGCTGTGTGTGTGTGTGTGTGTGTGTGTGTGTGCTAAGGATGGGGTGGTGATGGCGATCCTGCCAGCCTGGGACGATAGCCGCCTGGGACGCGCCTGCTCCCAACACACACAGGTCGCGCCTGACGTCTACTTACTTGGGCAGCTTAGCGCACACGCGCGATTGGGCTGAATGGGCGGGCAGGCGGGCAGGCGGGCAGGCGCGATCAACCCATGTCATGCCCTGCTCAAACCGTTCAAACGCGCAAGCAAGCCAAAACCAGGGCAAACACGTGCCTCCGCGTACCCTGGCCAGGCATCCATCAACATTGAATTTGATTGATTATTCCAAGTCTAGGTCACACGTGTGCACTCTACCCTGTGTAGGTAGGTATGTAGTATGTAGATGGTGGTATGTACTTCCCCCACAGGCACATGACCATGACGCTTCATTCTCCCCGCAGACTTCCACCGGCCACTTCACCCACCTGCAGTCACGGTGAACGCTCACGTCTGTATGCAGCTTCCCCATGGCCAACGGTAGCAACCGCAAACAACTTCCTCACCGCTCACCATGGAAGCCTTCAACTTTGCCACGTCTCTTGACCTGACACAGCTGTCGGTCCATGTGCGAATGTAAGCTGCGTCGTCCTGATCTAGGTGCAAGTGCAGGTGCAGGTGCTGAAGTTGTCATGGTAGAGACCGTCTTGATGGTAATCAGAAGCCCATCCCTTACTCGGTTTTGTTGAAACGCTCAGACCTGAGACACCGAGGGTCCATCATCAAGTAAGTAAGTGGGAGAAGGACGGTGGGAATCCAGGCCAACCCAAGCCAGAGAGAGGAAGAAAGAGAACATGATTGAATGAAAAAGAGAGGGGGAGATAGAGACAGAGAGGAAGGAAAAGAGACAGAAAAGTCTGGCTGACATCAAGCCAACAGCCCTCACTTTGAGCTCCATGTGACGGCCCAGATATGGGCTGATAGCAAGCCTCTGACCGTACCCGTCCAAACGTCCTACAAGTCGTTCAAGAACGCGCGCATATGGAACGAGTGGCTCCAGCTGCCCGTCACCTATTCGAATCTACCCGCATCCGCACAGCTCGCCATCACTGTGTGGGATCTGTCCCCCGCCGAAGACAACGACTCAGATCTACATGCAGTCCCTTTCGGAGGCACTACGATTTCCCTATTCGATAATGACAACACTTTGCAAAAAGGCAGGCAGCGGTGTCGACTGCATCGTTTCAAGCCTGCAGATGGCTTGGCCAACACCACTACCCCTTGGGTCATTCCACCTGCACGTAGAGGTAGAGGGACCCAAGTCACAGAGGATACCGTCGATAACCAGGTGGCTGAGATGCAGAGGCTGCAAAGTCTGTTAAAGAAACAGGAGATGGGTAATCTGCCGACTAATGGCTGGCTTGACGGCCTCGTATACAAGAAGATGATGAAGATTCGCAATGAGGCGCTCAAAGCCGAGGCTGCTGCCCTCAATCGTCATATCAAGACCAACGGCGTCACCGGTCAAGATGAAGAACTGTTCTATCTAGAGGTTGAGCTACCACGCTTTGATCATGCTATTGTATTCACTGATGTCGAATACCTTCCACCTCCGGTTTCAGATCTCAGACTTCCAATAGAGGCAGATGTCAGGTTACGACCACCACCCGAGGTCTCGTTTGGCCCAGAGATAGACATAGATGGTGTTGGCTATGGCGATGCTGACGCTGGTCGACTTATCAAAATCTACGACCCAGAGATTGGGCGAAGAGTCAATCCTGCTGAAGACAAGCACCGCGAATTGATGCGTAGCCAGCAAACGGATTCTTTGGATCGAGATAGAAAGCCCAACGTCAATGTCAGAGACAAGCTCAATCTGCTGTTATCCAAAGGACCCCTCGAAGAGATCACTTCCCACGAACGGGATGACATCTGGAAATTTCGATACTTTCTCTTGCGTGATAAGCGCGCGTTGACCAAGTTCGTCAAGTGCGTGAATTGGAAGAATCAGCGCGAAGTTCGCCAGGCAGCGCCGTTGCTCGAAAAATGGGCCGAGGTCGATGTTGACGACGCGCTTGAGTTGCTTGGCCCACACTTTGACCATCCGGTCGTGCGAAGCTACGCTGTTGAACGCCTCAAAAAGGCTGATGACGAGGAATTACAACTATATCTCCTTCAGCTCGTGCAGGCCTTGAAGTACGAAGCACCAGGCGAGGCCGACGATTCTTCGTTGGCACGGTTCCTCGTAACCCGCGCCGCTAATAGCTTCAAGCTTGGTAACTTCTTACACTGGTATCTAATGGTCGAAATCAGTGACTTTAGCAGCGACCAGGAACCAGAGCATCGCGACCTGTTCGCAAAGGTCGAATATGACTTCATGGTCGAGCTCGAGAAATCGCCAGAAGGCATCGAAACGCGAAACACGTTCCGCCGACAGGGCGAGCTGCTCACCGTCCTTGCAAAGATCTCCAAAGACGTGCGGTTTGGTGGAGGCGACCGACCCACGAAGCTGGCACGTCTCAAAAAGTCACTGGGGGATCCCAAAAATGAGCTCACGACCTTTGAGCGGTTACCCTTGCCTCTTGATCCATCGGTTCACATCACTGGCATCTACGCCGACGACTGCAATGTCCTGAAGTCGTCCCTACTCCCCATCGTCTTGAACTTCAAAACCACTACCGAGGAGAAGTACCCCATCATCTTCAAGACGGGCGATGATCTCCGACAGGACCAGCTTGTCATTCAAATCATCACGCTCATGGACCGCCTCCTTCGCAAAGAAAATCTCGATCTAAAACTAACACCCTACCGCATTCTCGCGACTTCCTCCTCCGCCGGTGGTTTCCAATTCATACCTTCCATGAGCATAGCCGCAGCATGCCAAAAGCACAAAGGCAGTCTCCTTGCCTACCTCCGCGCCAATAACCCCGACGACTCGGCTCCATTAGGCGTGAAGAAGGAAGCAATGGACACATACATCAAGTCTTGCGCCGGCTACTGCGTCATCACATACCTCCTCGGCGTCGGTGACCGACATCTTGACAACTTGCTCCTCGCCCCCGATGGACGTTTTTTCCATGTAGACTTTGGCTACATCCTCGGGCGTGACCCTAAACCATTTGCTCCGCAAATGAAGCTTTGCCGCGAAATGATTGAAGGGCTCGGTGGGGCCCAGCACCCCAATTACCTTGTATTTAAAGAGTACAGCTTTACAGCATGGTCGACGCTACGCAAGTCGAGCAATCTCCTGCTAAATCTGTTCGCCCTTATGCAGGGCGCGAATATTCCAGATATCAAGGTGGAAAGAGAGGGAAGTGTTCGCAAGGTGCAAGAGCGGTTCTGGTTGGAGAAAGGAGAAAATGAGGCGATGAGGGAGTTTGAGCGGTTGATTGAGGAAAGTATGGGGGATTGGAAGGCGGGCGTCATTGATTGGGCCCATGATTTCGTGCAGACCTATTGGAGGAAGTAGGTAGAGCGCTTGATGGATGGCGGCTGGTCAATCATGCCAAACCCGTCGTCAAGCCCGCTTGGTTACTCGTAAATGTTTCTTAGCTTGGAGACAAGTGTTGATTGTTGCCCATGTCCAATTAGAGTCGGAAAAGTTCGGGCGCATGATTATTACTTTGGTGATGGTCGTTGCAAGACATTATATAAGAAGAGCGTGACTAGTGAATACCCGCTACACCACTGCATATAGCTACCCATTCTGTAGTGGATGGTGGACCTTAGTCTGGATCATTGCCGCCCAGATCCGGACTTGCTCCGAAGTTTTGCGACGACGTTGAACACGACAGCCGCCGCTAACAACTCAAACCTCACCTCTCTCAATATCTTCGGCCAGAAATATCACGGGGTGCAGCCCCTAATGTCATAACCTCCCTTCATCTCACAGTCAGCCCCTTGTGACATGATTGCTAACAACAGCACGCCCCTTCTTCAAGCTTCCTCGACATGGCCTTGCCTTTGCGATCTGGTGGTCTTCTCCTGAAACAATATAGCCAGGTACAACAAATGCCATGACAAAACGCTTCAGGGTTTGCACAATGAGACTGACACATGGGCCATGCAGAACTTGCACGTGCCTGAACCAGCAATCGCCTACCCCGGGTGAACATTTCGTTTGCCTCTACCGGTACCCAACTACTCCTAAGCATGCACTGTTACTTTAAGCGACGACGATAGGCGCCTGAAAAGAGGAAATTCCAATACACTGGTCACGTTGGCGCAGCCCGCCTTGCGCCAGAGATCCCGAGCTAGCTGCTTAGACCCTGCCGAATCTCAGCCAATTCATTCACTATCCCTCTTCACCGGTGTGGGTGGCTTTTTGGAAGTTGGGATGCCTCAATCTTGGTGTTGAGTCGTGGATTGGTGGAATCACGATGCGCTTCGGTACGCTTCGAAGCCAGCGCCAACAGGAAATTCTTGCATTGTTTGGCTCGCTCTCGTATCAGTGCCAAGCTTTGTTCTGGTTATTTCCATTACCTATACATCAGACCAGAGGGTACCGTCAAGCCGTATCCACAGCAGCAAATGTGTGTCACCATAGGCTGGTCAGGATGGGACCTGCGCCTTGTGGGTACCAATGCCGCGAACCAAGACAGCATGGACCAATTATGCTCCAATCTATGTGCGAAAACGATCTGGCAAAGCGGGTACGATGCTGCAAAGGTGAAATGCCATGGACCATATGTCATGGCGCTTGCGACATTGCTCCCAGCTCGACCTATGGTCAATCAGATGCGCATGCGCCTTGAGTTGGCCCACCACAAGGCATGAAAGCTACAGTGCTGGTTTGAAGGATCCCTCTTTTTCTTTTCGTTCTCCAAGATCAAACCTCTCATCTGTCTTCTTTTTTAGTAAGGAGCATCTCCCTAGAGTGTAGTCTTTGGACTCACTGTCCACTCGCTTTATACTTACTTGACGATCGACGATTTCCAACCGTTCCCTCGCTTACTCCAACCAATCCAATAAGGGCCACTATGTATCTTTTAATAGTCGTCGCCGCTACGATCGCCGCCGCAGGACCTCTGGTGAATGCTCATGGTGCAGGGCTCCCAAAGATCGTTGGACTTGACCCAGCAGACGTGAAAAGCAGAGACCTGCTTCTCGCTCTTGAAGAACGCTTTTCACGATTGGATCATGCTCAGAGCGAACCTGCTTTGGCTACTCGCACAAGTGCCCCCGAGTGTGGACCGGGTGTCGGTTCCTGCCCTGCTGGCGAGTGCTGCTCAAGAGCCTTTTGTATGTCAGATGTCTGAACTTTTTCATCATGTTACTGATCCAGTGTAGTCTGTGGAACGTCTAAAGACCACTGCTATTCACCTGGTTGCAACTACAAGTATGGTCCGGGCTGTGCAGAAAACCAAGCTCCTGCCGGTACAAACACATCTTCCATCTCGCGCGACAAGCTTGGATCGATCCCATATGGTGGCAACGGCACATTCAGATGTACCAAACCAGGAACAGTTGCGATCACCTACGATGACGGTCCTCAAAAGGACTTCACCGAGCACATTCTCGACCAGTTTAAGAGCTATGGCGCGAAGGCCACCTTCTTCGTGACGGGTAATAACATCAACAAGGGTCAAATAGACGTCGAGTATGCCGATGTCATCAAGCGCATGAGCGCCGAAGGCCACCAGATAGCATCGCACACTTGGACACATCTGGACTTGAGCGAAATCTCCTCGGAGGACCGCAAGAACCAAATCATCATGAACGAAATGGCCATCCGCAACATCCTTGGCAAGATCCCAACCTATCTCCGCCCTCCTTACAGTAGCTGCACTGAGATTTCTGGCTGCCAAAAGGATGTCGCAGACCTGGGATACCACATCACTAACTTCAACGTTGATACCGATGACTACAACCTGAACACCGCCGAAGATATTCAGATCGCCAAGGACAACTTCCATGGAAACATCACCAGTAAGGGAGCAACTGCCAAAGACCATCAATGGCTTGCTATCGGACACGACATTCTAGAACAGACGGCGAATAACTTGACTGGATTCATGTTGGAGACAATCACTAAGCTGGGTTACAAGGCTGTCACTGTTGGAGAGTGTCTCGAGGATCCAGAGGAGAACTGGTACCGTGCTGCAGACGGCGCTGGGATTAGTCCAGATAACGAGACTAATCCAATTAGTTCCGACAGTGGAAGCAATACTACTTCGCCCAGTGCTACTCCAGCTGCTAGCGCTACCGGTGCTGGAAGCGCGACTCAGTCATACTCTATTGCTACTATTGCTCTTGCCTTTACCATGGCGTCTGTATACGTGCTCTAATGTAATTATCAAGTCTGATCTAGCATGGCGTTTTGATTCGAAGCCGGAGTATGAGTAGGGAACAACAGCTTGTTTTTACATGTAGATAATAGCGAGGGTCGAACTTGTTCATTGTCGATCTGTTGATAATATCTACCCGAACTCGAAACAACTCACACAATTTCTACCTGGCAGGATTTTGCTTTTCTCTTCAAGTTCTCGGCAGCGTCTAGGTAGCCATGATGGATCAGCGCGGGACATTGTTACGACAAAGAGCAAAAGATGGTCCCAATGGTTATCTACTCGAAGAACTTCACGTCAATGCTTGTAATCTGATTGACTGTATTCCAACTTCATCTATAACTTGATAAAACTGTCATACAAAAGCCTGTATCAACCAACTAGGGCTAATATCTCGTAAAACGTAGTATCATAAAAAACCTCTAGCCAGAAACAAATAATGTTCCCTTGGCATCTCCAACGCGCACCATACATCATCGTCTCGAACGAAAGTGAAACAATAGCTTGAAACTACAATTCATCCCTTGCCTCCTCACCCTCCCCGACCTTCTTCTTCACCAACATCGCTTCAACAGTGAATTTGACCTCCTTATCGTCGGTGTTCGTATGCTGCACTTTCCCAATAACTGCCCCATCCCTCGGCTCGTTCGAGTACTTTTCCAAATCGTCAAAAACGCCTTGGAGTTTTCCAGTCAGCCCTAATTCTTTTCAAATCGCATCTCACCAATACCATCTATCCGGTATTTGTACAATTGAAGAAAGCGACATACCTTTACAATCACTACTTTTATCAGCACTTCCATCATCGACCCAAAGCGGCAAAATGGGATAGATTGCGCCTGGTGCAAAAAACACTTGGTCATCCTGCACACTAAAATGCCTCTGCGTTCCATTCTTCTTCAGCCACTCGCGCACTTTAAAGGGGACATTCTTCATTTCCATCTTGATCAACTCACGCCCCACGCCATGCACATCAATGCCGCCCCACGAGCCGGCGTATAGTTGCTTGTTGTAGAATACTTTGAGCTGCGGAGCGAAGTCTTTGAGATCTGGGTAGAGTTGGGCGAGAGTGTAAATGGGGACTGTGTAGGTTGTGGTGGTGCGGCAGTGGAGGGTGAAGGGGGTTAAAGTTGTGGAATCCCAGGAAGCTGTCCACAGGGCACCAACAGGCGTCGGCTCAGGAGAGGAGGAGGGGTCTGCTACAGAGGGGTCGTCGATGGCATATGCGGTAGCTGCTAGCAAGGCGGCGGGAAGGAGAGTGCGGAGTCTCATGGCTGGGATTATCTTCAACGCGTATATTTCTAGGTGGAGGTAAATGTGAGGTATCTTTGAACATATATCTGCGCCTGCCCGAGTAACATATATACCCCTTCAATCCCATTCAGTCTTGGAAAACCAAGTAAGAACAAAACAAGTAATGCATTGTTGTCCTTTTCCCCACAGTCTACGGTCAGGAGCAAGTTGACGACCCGGCTGCTCCGCTTGATTATTCCGCGTTCCATATTAAGCGCCGGGATGACCAGCGTATTTAGCGAGGTGAACTTGAAGAAGATAGATTAAAAGAACACTGTGTCGCCCGTTGGGCCAACAATCGTGCTCGAGAAGAGGTCGAAAAAAAGCTTATCTGGCATTACGGGAGGCTTTTGGACTGTGTATTGCAGTCGCGTTGGGTGCTATGCATGAGTGGAGATGATACCACATTTCGCATTGGTGCGGCTTTGAGGAGATGCAGGGATTGACAGGCGACGAGAAGACGATTCAATTCAAACAAAAACACTTGGCAAAAGATGTCATAATGGAGCAAGATAACCATGCAATCATCCGTATTCACATGGAAGATGACAGTAATGGTTCGCTGTGGCTAGAGTTGTGTTTGGTTGGCGTGTCGAGCTGAGCATACGGCATGCCTACCGGTACCTAGGTATCGATCGCTCGGCCAGCCCCTTTGACTTGCATCGGGAGCATCTTCGCCGACCATCCCAGCGAACCAAACACCATACCATGTCGAACAATCTCAACGCCTGCACTGTCCGAACACTAACTCTCAAGTTTTGGCAGCACGAATTTGATGCAAATACACTGTGCACATAAAGTATAAGCTCGGTAGCGAACATACAACATGAGGTAAATAAGACAACAAGCAGCTACCTACAGGCAAGCCTGTAGCCCGTTTCGCATGTTAGGTTCATTACAAACGGTATCTTAACGTGTGAAACATCAAATGTATAATTTAAGGAAGTAGATAATAACATTCATCGACCGACAGAAGTCGCCATGCACCTCGATGATCTGAAGTCGAAATTTTTGGGGAGTTATTTGGGAGGTCGCAAATACCGCACAACTGAATAACTGTGGCATGTGATGTAATGGATACGTCCATGTATTTATTTACAATACCGCTTGGGACTTACTGTAATACTTGGAATGTAAAGCGATCTTCCTGTGAGATAGTACTTGGAAAGAACAATTAAGTCTGAACGCAGATATTTGTAGAATCCATGACATCGAGAATGCGGTCGTATAAGGACCATGGGTATCTCAAGGCCAGCCCTATCAGCGGCATCCACTCTACTATGCGTAAATTTCAACATACGAATGTTTCAACATACCATAGCCATAGGAACTTGAAAACTTGTCGCACAATATAGAGTGTGGGAATAGTGTCCGTGTATGAAAGCTGAGCGCGATGTGGATGCCTGTTCTTTGCTTGCTTGTCACGATAATTTACTACATACTGTTGAACACTCCATGCCATAAATATTGACTAAGTTCTTCTCACAAGAAGACTAAAGTATGCTAGACGCATAATATTGATGGATGTATAGTGACCATGTCGCTCATGGTGGCGGTGGTCGGATTAGAAATCCATATTAATTATATCACTAGTCATCAACTTACTTGGGACTAAATGTAATGCAGGCCGATTAAGACACTAGAAGAAGTATCCACGAATGAAAGCCCGTTGAGAAGGATATCCAGATTTCCATCCGATACCTATTATCGATCGCAAGTCCAGTTTGAGAAAACATTAGCTATATATTGGGAATTTGCTTCACAAGTGAATAAGTGATTGATGTAGGTCGCCTACAGTATCATTTCCACGATCTTTCTAGTGTCGTCAGGGCGCACAGCAAGAGCGAAACCCGACCTGAGTTACTACTTAGGTACCTAGTGTAATGATGAGACTAATAGCCAGGCCCATAAAAAACCCCGACGCCAAAGTTAATCTCCAAATCTCTACAACTTCAACTTGAACGACGAAAGTAGCCGTGAGAAGCTGCCAGATTAGAAGAAGATGAAGTTATCTTGCTTTCTATTCATCTTCACAGGTAATACAATTTTTTTTTCAGTAATCACACAATAGGTTTACTTGGGTGCGGCACATCTGGACAGCATATGGAGTCTCTTAAATTGTTTGTCAGGGGCGCCTGAATTCTTGCGTTGGTGAAATAACATGCTATGAAATTCTCAAACTTGACTAGTTATTCTAGGTTGGATACAAATTGTGTGTTTAATCGGTTATGAATGTTAAAGACCAAAGTAGAAATCCTGTAACCACTGTATTGCAGATATTGTAAGTCAATTTGCATCGTTTTCGCGATGGCCATTGCTTTACATAGAATTCAGCTCATTCAGCTCATGCAGAGGAACTAACACGTCGTTCCATTACCACCTTCCTTGGGCCGTTCTCCTACTTCCGCAGCTTGTTTCCTCCTATCTCTCGTCACTCTTCTCACATGACCGATAGCAGCGCCCATGTTAAATAAGAAGATGAAAGCAAATACCACCACCAGCACGGCCAAAACCACGACGACACAAACCATGCTCAAGATTACGAAGCCGTAACTCCCCCTCAAAAACGTCCTATTACCTTGTAACTCCTGTAGACTGGTGCCAACTTGCATAGCGCTGAGTACCAGACTGAATAGCACGAAGACGGATAAGATCCAACTAAAGTTGCGCTGGAAAAAGACGACGTAACGGTTATACCCGTACAAGTAGCCACGTACAAAATGTGTACTAAAATACCGAGTACGGTAAATAGTATTGATGCGACTAAGTCGTAGTTCACCAAACTGGTACCTCTGATTCACCTGATGTAGCGCGTTGACATCCACGTGTGCGTAGAAATCAGCAACGAAATCTTTCCACCAGTGCCATGTCACGAAGCTCGGGAGAAGAGTCTCGTCATGCGCGAGATTCAAGTCTATGGGCGTAGTGATGAGCCAGACGTAAGAGAGGAGAAAGCCGCATGCTGAGCGGTGCAATGCTTTGTTGGAGCAAATGTAACCCGTCCAGAAGTCGTGGGACAAGACCCACTCTGGGAGCGGTTTGAGGATAAGATTATTTGAGAATTTGAGTAAGTGAAGATCCATTTGTTGTGTAGGAAGGATATGGAAGCCCATCATCTTGTAGCGATGGAGCGGCCGCGCGCGCATGGGGCGACCAGCCATCCATAAGAGGCTATGGATCTTGTTCAGCCGCTCTAGATTGAGGGCATCGTCTAGGAACTGCTCGATTGCATTGTTGGCAAGCACTATCTTGTGACCTTTGCCTCCCTTGCCTGTAATGGTAGGCAAGGAGTCAAGGCCTGTCAATGGTATGTTCGATGCTGTGTCCAGGACAGGCTGCTGGCCTGTGGTGACGCCAACATTGGCTAATGATGTTTGCGACGCGGTGAGTGGTGCATTTGGCGCGTTGGGAGGGATCGTTCTTGGTGTAAATGGGGGCTCCAACGCGTCAGTCTGGGCTGTGATTAGCTTTGAGCTCATGGCTTGGAAATAGTTCGAGGAAAGCGTCGCGAGCGTACTGGGTGCAAAACCATGTTGTCTGTCATTATATTTTGAACCGGGGAAAAAGTGGTAGTAACGGAGGAAAAGACATCGAGGCAAGACCAAGCGGGCGAGCTGTGAGTTTTCAGCTATCTGCGAGGGTTCCTATAGTCAAGGCGCACGAGACTCGCACATGCAAGAGCCCATGATGTGGTGGCTCCACAACCCCGACACGGGAGCCAGGGAAACTGTGGGGGCTGAGACGGCTTGTTTCATGTTCAAGGCCGAACTTTTCGGTCAGGAACCACTCCATTCGAATGTCACAATCTGTGATTGGGGTATAACATGGTAGATTCATCATTGCAATTTTGACCCTGTACTACCAGTAGTAACTTCGTTCGTTCTACTACAGACATCACCACTTGCTATGCCATTCATCGGTACTTTTATAGATACATCCGAAGTAAAGTGCAAGGACCAATTCAATTATTGGTATTCTTTTACAAGATTCCGTAACCTGAGCTCGCAAGTTAGTCCCAGGTGGGACATCTTCAAGCCTTCCGCATCCATCTATAGAGACAAAGTCACTGTAAGCTCACTTGCAATAGTTTGCTGGAAAGCTACCCTTCATCCCATGAACCTCTCCTTCCCACCAATCTTGCGAGCTTTCCGTCTTCTTGAGCACGCGGATACGGTCACCCTCCCGGAATGATAGATCGCCGGCCGTGTGGCTGTCAAAGTCGTACATGGCTATGACATAGTCAGATTGAAAAGAGCCGATTTTCTTCGGGGGTGGTGGCGGCGGCTTTTTCTTGCCTGCAGCTGGATTTGGGGAGTGGCCCGGTGTTGATGCTGTGGAGTTGTTTGATGATATTTTTGATATGACATTGTTGAAGTAGTCATTACCGTTTGTACCGTTCGAGTAGGAAGATGCTTGCGATGTTGACGAGGCACGTCGGCCATAACTGTCTGAACCTGGTGTCAGGTGCGGCGAACTGGACGGTATCCTCGGCTGGGAAGCGCTCAGAGAGCTGTAAGAAGGCTTATTGGACAAACTGACGGGTGGTGCACCATCCTCTGCTGGCGATGTGAGAGTTGTTGTAGGCCGCGCGGGACGTTGTGTTAGCGTCTGAACGCCGTCGCTGCTGCTGACCCGACGGCCGGGCAAGACTTTATTCCTGATGCCCAACCCGGTCAAAGTGTCGCCCTTGTCTGGTAATCTCATTGGCAAGTGTACCGCTTTGCCTGTCCTCAGGAGTCCCAGCTCTGCCTCCATCTCCTTGCGCAAGGGGGTAAAAGCCGAGTCCCAGACCGGGATGACCTCTTCAGGTTCGGGTGGTGGATCTGGGTATCCCTGTCCGTGCGAGTATTGATGCAGTACAGTGTACAAGTTCCCAATCAGATTGTTCTGTAATACGATCTGGTTTGTGAGAAGGTGGGGTAGGATGGAGAAAGTGGCTGCGTTGAGACGAGGTAGACGATGGCGAAGGTTCTCGTCGCTGAGCTGGTAGGCAGCTGTGGAGCGCTCGAGGTCGGCTTCATGCTTGGCCAGGGCATGATTTTCACGCTCAGAGCGGGTGCCCTTCTTCTGTAACGCTTCACAGCGGCTCTTGTAGCGTTCGTAGTCGACCTGGGAGGCAGCATGTCAGCGCAGTCCAGAGCACAAAGCGAGTGAGTTAGACCTTGGCATCCTCGCGCTTCTTGATGGCCTTCTCCATGGGCTTGAGCGCATCTCTGGCGAGCTTTGCGGGTATAACCAGCTTCCTATCGATGTCCTTGACTTCTTCCATCATGTCCGTCTTCAGCTCTGCAAAGGCATCGTGCAGTCCGTGAACCCTTTCCAGCGTGGACTGTGGTGTTTCGGCTGCAACATGTGCGGTCGTCCCTTCACCACCAAGAGGTTTGAAAATGGTGTACATGTTCTCCACCGTGGCGAGTTGGTGGTTGAGAATGTTTGTCCATGCATCACGCCATTGCTTCGCGCAAGCTTCCACCTGTACCGGTCAGGCATAAAGAGCAAAATGCATTTGGTCAACAGTCTCGGAAGCAAAACCGACTCAGCAGTGGGTGGTGCCTCTGTGTATACGCTTGGGTTTCTGGGTATATAAGTCCGGGACGGGGTACTCCAAGGCAGGTCCCACACCCCCGCCAGTTCCCGCCCCTGCGCTGTCGGCCATAGCAAGAACAAAAAGCAACAAACATACCTTTTCCAGCATTGCCTTGGAATCATTGAAGTCCTTCAACATGGCCTCGACATCAGCCTCGTTGGGCGTCCTCGTAAGGAAGCGGCCCGTGATTCTCTGCACACGCTGCATTTTGCAACGTGGTCGCGACAACAAGCGAGGAAGACTTGATGAAGACGAGAGAGGTGATGAGGCGACAAGGTTGAAGGAGAATGTCCCGATTGTGCACAGTAGGTAGGTAAGTAGGTAGGTAGGTAGGTATGTAGGTATGAGGTAGATAGGGACTAGGTAGATGGGTACAGTAGCCAGTAGTCGGGTACGTGCACATGTGAGCCATGCGTAGGTTCCCCGCTAGCAATGGCTGTGCTTGGAGGCTTCGCCGCGGCGGTGTGATACTTTTCTGGTATTGCCACGCTGACATCAGCCTTCTCACGAAAGAGCCACCAGCAGTATTCATGATACAGAGGTGTTGGTACGAAACGGCAAGCATGGGCATGGTGTCGATTGAATCTCTAGGCTTCGATGGAAAATAGCGCGCCGTTGAGAAGATGCACCTATGGTGCATGTATGACTACGTACAGCAGATACATCGCAATGGTTTGGGGGAGGAAATGCCGAAATATTGTGTGTTGAATAGGTACCGGTATTCTAGCTGCACGTTGCCTTGTCACCGTCAACCTGCCAACTACACGTAGTGCTATTGTGCTTGCAGGGCGAGTCCTATTTTTATTAGCATGTTCTGTGTGTAGATCGAGGCTATAACTGGATGTGGAGAGAGAGAGAGAGAGAGAGAGAGAGCACTAACCATGGAGCATTTCCGGCCAACCCACATTTCCATCTCATCTGTACCAGGAGACGACTGCATGTACCCACATCTACCAGGGTCATCAGCTGCTATGAAGCTGCTGGTACCCGGAAACTTAAGGCACACCTGGGCTGTGTTAGTTCACTAGGTATCTTTGAAACGCAACAAGAAGTAGATCAAATGTACATATGCTTGTTCAACAGCAGCGCGAGCGCCAGAAAGGCAGAAGAGGATACCGGTAAAGCTGGTAGCTAATTTCATGTCGAAGGTGGGATGATTGAATGATAGAGCGTATCTGATGTAACGGTAGAATAGAAACTCGTAGAGGAGAGGTGGGAACTGAGAAGTGCACAGTATGATACGCACCATGGGCTCCTATTACCGGTAATACCTACGTACTGTGTACACTAGAGCACTTTCTTCAGCATTCTCACTGGTCCATCTATAGTACCTGAAAATTAGATGTAATCTACCCAAGTCCAGTGCATAGCGTACGGGGTATGTAGAGTACACTACTCACAGACATGGCTTCGGCCTATTTTCGGTACCCAACTGGACCTATGTAGACTGTTCGGCAACTGCTGACAGCTGTTTGAAATCCTGGTCCAGCGTAATTACTCTGCAAAGTAGGTTAGGCATGACGGGTTAGCATGATTCACAATAATCACCCAGTGATAGCGACAGGCTAGGAACAGCTTCAAACAGTCCAGCATTCGGTTTCTACCTACAGTCCCTTCCGTACCCACCGTACCCACCACACCGATGATGGAACATCTCGGCCATGTCTTGGTAGCAGAAATCACCAGAATAGGGTAACAGTACACTTGTCTTATAATTCATGCGAAGCATAGTGGAGGCATGATCAGAGTGTAGTTGTAGGTATGCCAAGTTACAATGTACTGTGTGCTCCAAGGTGTCCATGAGCACCGCCACGAAAGTCACATGGTTGCGCGGCAAGGCGTCCTCGGGCAGACAACGCGCTTGCTTCCAAATCTTGCTTCGGACGCGTCGGCAGTCCACGTTCAATAGCAGCCACTTATCTGCCAACAACCAACTATAGTGGTACGTGCAGTAGCAGCAACAGCAGCAGCGACAGGAAAAGCGCCTCAACCTTCATGTCGCCCGCCAGTCTCACAACCCCTCTTCTCAAGACGTATCCACAATGACGGCGCCTCTACAAACTACCACGCCACATGACACCGTCGTCCTCCCCGCATCCCAGAACACGGCGCCTGTGGCTGAATACCGCTGTCTCTTCACCCACGACGTCAGACGAAAGCAGAAACGATGGCAAGATGGCTACCTCAGATTCCACTCCTTCAACCACCGAGTCATGGTCTATGACGAATCGCGCAACTTCCTCGGCGACACGTACTACAAGGACAGCAGCGAGCTGCAGGAAGGAGACCAGCTTAACCTCGACAAGGGCATCATGATCGAGGTGGCAGAAGCCATTGGCGTCACCCAGACCGATCTGACGCCCCTGTTCGAGAAGAAGCTCAAAGAAATACCGGCGCGTCCAACGACTGTTGCCTCTCAGACACGACCTTTCCAGCGGCCATCGGTAGTAGCCTCAAGCATTGTGCAGCGGAACACATCACAGCTGCCCCACAAATCACTCAATACCTTATTGGGAACACCAAAAGGTCCACTCGGGAAGGCGCAGCCCATGCAGTCCCCATTCGAGGCACGCAAAGCAAAGGACAAGGAGAACCGCGTTGACGCAGGACCATCAGCGCAACGGCCGAAGCTCCCCCGGCCTGCATCGCCTTGGAGAGCCTCTAGTCCGACACAAGAGGAGAGTCCTATCGCGAAGAGAGCCGTCTCATGTTTACCACAATCACCAGCTGCCCAAGCTGTCCAGAAACTCCCTTCTTTGATTCCACCAGTTGCGAATGTCTTCCATGTCGAATCTGAGCCCAAATTGTTGCCTACCGTCTCTCCCGATATGACTGTGTCAAATACATCAACAATGGTAGCTAAAACAGGAGCAAAGCTTCATTTCGCCTCCAAAACTGTACCTGCGTCAAAGACTAATCATCAGTCCACCATGGTACCCGGTAGGCGTTCAGTGCAGACGCCAAAGATTTCTCGGGGCAAAACACCAGTGCTCCTCGCGAGAACTTTGGAAACTCCCCGACACCCTGCTCCAAGATCATCACCTCCAGTGAGTGTCTCGAACCGGCTGGCCAACGTCGAAAATTCAGTCCAAACCCTTGAAGTACCGCTGGAGAGGCCTGTCCCGGCGTCTTCGCTGCCACGAAACCCCAAAACCAAGTCATTACGATTATCAGCTGGAGTCATGCGGGGAACACTAATATGTCAGACGCTGCCATCCTTGACATCGAAGATGTATAGTGAGTCAAGACCACCTGGCACAGTGCAAGAAATTGGGCGACTGTCGTGCAGCATTAGCAGAGATTCTTCACCTGTCGTTCCTGACATAGGGAACTCACGCTGCGGGAAGAGTAAGACCAAACTCTCTGAGGTCCCACCAAAGTTGAGTAGTAAGCGAAAGAAGGCGCAGAGGCCAGTGGGAAAACCTGTGAAGCGAACGAGGATTGCCCCAACGCCACCAGAGCCAACGTTGGCCATGTTTGACGATCCAGAACTCACACACGGCATGATGGATGAATCTCTTCTTGCGCTTTCTCCGCCCATGTCGCTGCTCACATATAATACAGAAGCAACCCCGAAGCCCTCCAAAACGAAGATTATTACAGTGGGTAAGTTAGCAGGGAAGCAGCAAGATGTACAAGAATGCGTCATTCTTGACGTGCCCACCAAAACCTCCCCACTGCAAAATTCGCGAGGGAGAATATTCCCGCAGGAATCTCCCACAGCGGATTCAAAAGCAGCCCTTGAAACTACGGTCCCATCCCGTATAATCAAGACACCAGACACCTTGTCCCTCGCCGTCTCACCAGCACATGCCGATACCACCTCTACCCGCTCCCGAACCTCGTCTACTTCCCCCAAGAATTCCGCTCTATCCACTGGCGCCTTCAGCAAGAAACCAAAACTGGGCTTAAACGACATGCCCGCTCCCCATTCATTTCACCATGACAAGACTGTTGTCTTACTACCTTACCCCCTCCACGCCGCTCCAAAAAGTTCTCTGATGAGCACCACTGAACTCCATACACTCCTTCAAACATCGAAAAAACCCAAGAAACCCGGGACAGATTATATAGAAGAAACTAAAATTTCACCGAAAACCTGCAAATCCGAAAGCCGCAGCTTTCGGCGCGTGCGAAGCGAGAACGATGCGCCCATCCCCAGCGCAGTCAAAGACTGGGAGAAGCGGAATCTTCCACTGCAAAGGATATCGAGTGCGCTGACTGAAGTTTCTGAATTAACCATGGACACGATGGTTTCAACCATTGGGGAGACAGTAGTGGACAAGGGAATAAGGCTGCCGGCATCAAAGAAGAAGGATCCAGGTCGCATAATCAAACGCACGCAGAGTTTGAGGGTACAATCAGATGGATTATCCGCGACTACAGCACAAGTCGATGTTCTTACTCCGCTGATTGATCAAGACGTGGGGCCATGGAGTATAGAGGCGGGAGATTTGTTTGATTGGAAACCGCCGGGGCGGTGAGAAAAGGCGCAAGCTGAGTTTATTTGTGAGGTGATCCTTGTTTCTTGCTATGGAGCTTATGAACAGAATTGTAAGATAGAAAAGCAGGGAGGGGGGAGGTGTTGATCTTGATGGCGAAGTCGCAGTTTCTTCCGCCTATAGGTCAGGTACAAGTAGACACAAGATAAAGATCATGACTATAATGCCATGGCATCAGCATATTCCTACGAATTGATGTACATCTACATCACCTCCTTCTCCCCTTATTGTTAGTGACATTCGTTGTAGTTCAACATGTTGGGAATGCCCTACACATAATCTAGATCTAAATAAATCCACATAGGAGTTTAGGTACTATCCATCATACATAGGCAACGTTTTACACCATCATTCTTGGAATCCAAGGCCTTAAACCGCATAGAACCTATATTTCTGGCTTATCTCTACTTGACTATGCTTTCTCGTCTGGCCAAATGAAAATACGACGTCCTCTTGGGCGAAAGAAAGAAGACAGAGATGCGAATTGATACCTTACAGTGTATGTTTCTCTCTACTACCTGGACAATACAGGTGTGAACAAGCGCTTGCTTCACAATATGCCGTCCACCCCATTAGCACTATGCTAACGGGCAGACAAACTACTAGACAAAAATACACTACATAAATTAATGTCACTTGCAAATATGTAAACGCAGAAAAGGCAAGACGTAGAAGTCATACAAGTCATGATATCCCTATTGATTGCCTTAACTCCAACTAAGAGCCTTGCCACACTCCTTACGCGCATTACATATACAGCTACACAGTTTCGGTACTGAATCGTGTCAGAAAATGACGCAAGAACAACAGTGGCCCCGCTTCCGCTTATGGACACACTTAATAACCTAAAAGAGGAACTAAGAACAAGGAGAAAGCCAGGCAGTTCGACCTCGAACACTTCAGCAGTTGCTGGATGAAAGAATGATTCAACACGTGTTCCAACACCACAAGCATGCCGTGTAGCCCGAGTGGACTAAATGCCGAGCGCATAGCAGCAATAGGTCCGATGAACGGTAGATTATAGCTCAGCAAGTTCGTCGTTCTTGCTTTATCTCTTGCTTCATCTCAGACAGCTTTATGTCATGGTTCTTTGTTTGCTTCTTCGCAGTGCCTATGTGCGTGTTGTGTACCTTAGTCGCAAATTTCAGGCTTGTGAGAGTCTCTTGCAAGTGTGCCTGCAGCGGACTGACCATGACGAACATGAGCGTTTTGGAGTTGCCACCGAGAGAATTTTGGAGAAGGAATGTGAGCTTTTCATCTGTTAGCGAGGGTTCTGAACGAGATGTTTCATGTGAGAGGATTTAGCGTACCTTAGAATTTCTGTATGGAATATGCGTGCTCTCCTTGGCTGTTCCCAGAGCATTGATGACATCTCCCAAGCAGCTTAGACTCTTGTTGATGTTTTGCGTCTCTTTAAGTCGTGCACCTTCGGCTTTGGAATGTTCAAGCCTCTCAGATCCAGCAAGATCAACGAGGTTGAGCGTACCCTCGCTCTTTTCCCCAGTGACCTCGTTTGTCCCTACAAGCTTCAAAATGAAAACCGAGTGACTTCGACTTGATCGCATGTTCGCCTTCGTCGCGGCTACGGTCCGATTCTTACTTGCCGTAGTAAGGATTTTTACGACGCTCTCAGGACCATCCAACATGACGCTCACAACATTTTCCAGGTAGGTCTTCCCATTCTTTTCGTGCTTCACGGTTATTCTCTTCTTATCGAGATCCTCTGAACGACCCAGCAGATCGTTATAGGTCTCATTGTAGACCTCGATGAAAGACCCTTCCATCGTGTACCGCCAGTTTTTGTCTTGTAGTCGTTGTGCTTCTTCCCATATCTGTGCCGTGGCTCGCGGAATCATTCCATCAGCAGACGACATTGTGTGCGTCTTCCCAGACCCGGTCTGGCCGTAGCAAAAAATACAGACATTATAGCCGTCCAGCGCACTCTGTACCAGTTGGCTAATCTCCTCAAACACCTCGGCATTCTGAGTCGTGGGGCCGAAGACACGGTCAAAAGAGTAGGTGTATGACGCAGTAATGTCTTTACCAGTCGCACTTTGCTTGCTAGGGCCAGTGATGGCCACCTCTTTGCAGTCAGTGTCGCAGTCAGGGTAAGCAATAAGTGCAGGTTCCGTTTCCGACTTATGGGCTGGTCGGACACGACACATGACTCTGATGTTGCCTTTCAGCTCTTGTACTTGGTTAAACAATTTCCGTCGAAGCGTTTCTTCTTGACGCAACTTGTCATGTGCTCGTTCCGCAGCTTCGATAGCATCCTGCATCCGCTTGTGGAGATCGTTGAATGCTTGCGATTGGGCTTGACTGTCTGACTCAAGGAAATCGATCTTCTCCTTCATCGCTTTATTCGCTGCATCCATGGCCAGATTGTTCGTGATCGACTCTGTTAGTTGGATCTGGAGGCCTGCCTTTAGAAGTCGTTCACGATCAAGCTCAGCCTTCACCTTCGTTACCTCGCCCTGCAGGAGCTGGACTTCTCGCTCCTTCGCATCTGAGTCGAGTGCAGCCATTCGTAATTTCGAGGCATACTCCGTTTCAATCTTTTGGGCTAGTTCTGACTGTCTAGCGCGCTCTGCTTGACTGTCGATATCCAGCTGCTTGCGAAGCTCCGCTAGCTCCAAGGAGTGATCTTTGAGAAGTCTATCAATTTTTTCCTCTAGGTCCTTTCGCACCTTGCTCTCTGCGTCTTCGTTCTGCCTCTGTAGCCGTGCAGTGTCTTTTTGATATCGAAATTCCAGCTCCTCAACCTCATTGCGCAATTTTCGGCGAAGATCGTCTACTTCGTATGAATGTTTTTGTTGCGCCATCTCCATCTCCATCTTAACCGACTTGAGGCAGCTTCGCGTGTCGTCTAGCTCGAAGTTCAACCCTTTGTTAACGACCTCAAGACGGGCACGAATCGCCTCTAGTTCGGTAACTAAGGATCTGTGTGAGTCATGCATGACTTTTATGTATTGCTGTCTTGACTTACCCCGATTCTGGAGTTGCTGGATTGACTCCTTGTACTTGGTAGCTTGTCCTACATCACCTTCCATCTGTTCCTTGAATACGCGGAATTCGCGTTCCATTTTCTCAATGCGCTCATCGTAAAAGTCTGGGCAGCGGTCGTTAGTGAATTTGTTCAGGAAAGGTGATTGTGGTGGTTTCTTGAGCGTTGATACTGATTGCCGAAATGACACGGCCATAAGTTGCGGTCGGATAGGGGGGGCTGTAGTCAGAGAAAGATGAGACTGGGACATTTTCGTGCTCAGAAATACGGTGGTTCCCTTGCTAGATGAAGAGTTCCGGCCGTCATGAGTTCCACCAGACTCTGCTTTTGAGTCGCGCAAAATGAGCGCTCCCAAACTTGTGCAGATGTCACCGCGATCAATCTGAGCAGGCTCCTCGATGACAGGTGTGATTGGGCGAAGAACAGAATGAGAAGAGACAGGACGCGTCGTCCACAAATACAAGGATTTCTGAGAGAACATATGGCTGGGATTTGCGCGCATTACGTAGGATGACGCTGTCCTTTTCGAAACATGCATGCTTTCGGTGGGGCTCATAGGGATATGAAATGGTTGCACACCTTTGCGCTCCGCTTCCTCTTCGTCCTCCTCATCCTTGCCACCTCTCATTGCGGTGGCCGGCCGCGCGCCCTGATGATAGGACTTGCTCCGTGCATGACCACTGTATTGACCGTAGGCAGACTTGGGTCGCGCGGGGCCCCGCGGGCCTCCCACACTACCACCAAGGGTTGCCACAGACGAGTGTTTGGATAGGCCTTTCGAAGGCATGCGTGAGGTCGAGACTGCATGATTACGCCCCGAAATGCCCTTAACACTATTAGGGGGCAAGCGCGAGATAGATGAGGCGCCTGGCTTCAGTGCGATAGGTTCGCCAGCCTTCTCCTTGAGGGTCTTGCGCATTTTAAAGGCGGGTTCTGGCACTGGGTATGTCAGCAGCTCGTTGGATTCATTCAGGATGGGTGTGGGTAGTTTACAGCCGGACGGTTTGTGCTTCATCGATGACGGCGCGATTGCAGAGCGGGTGTTCATGCTCGAATCTCGCAATTCGGCCAGAGCGGGCGGTGGAGAGGCGTGGAGAGTGATGGGTTTTGGTGGAGGAATACCAGAACGCTTCATCGCGCCCTACAGTACAGTTAGCATTGACACGGCTGCATCCATTGGCGTCCTGGCAACATACCACATTCTCGTTGGTGTAGTCCATGGCGTTGTCCCACCAAAAAGAGACTTCCAAAGAAAAAGCCTGACAAAAGAATGATATATCACCAGACCATGTTATGCAGCAACAAGACAAGATCAGGGCGCTGTGTCGTTCGCGTCAGGTGGGTGTTGGTGTTGACGGTCCGGTTGTTGCTTTGTTTGGACGGAGATCTTGGACGTAAACAATCTCGTCTCCACTACCTATCTCGCTCGATCAGGACTAGCCGCGTCCCGACAGACTAGAGTCATTCAACTCAACCACCGGGACCCTCCATCCTTGTATGTCATCACTAGGACCAGTAGTAATGGCAGTACTCTGTAGATATGATCAGAAGCGACTTCGATGTAGCAGTTAAGGCTACACGAGTGCATACCTATACAGTAGTCTGCGCGTACTACAGCCCTAAGAGGACGGCGAGTGAAAAAATCTGTTGAATTGGGTGATCACGAGCTTAGGAATAATTTGGGAGATTAATTATGACATTATAACTATTAGGATAGAGCTTAGAAATATATATCTTAAGCTTAGTAATCTGCTTAATCTTTATTAAGTATATCGTACCTTACGGGTAAACAGTCTACATAGGTATGCGGTCTACGTGTTAGGACACAGGGCTCTGCTAACCCTGCTAACCTAAGCATAGGCTACAGTAGCCTAAGCTAGATAGATTATGTAATTATAGGTAGTATAAATACCTATAAGAATTAATATATATAATATTAATTTATTTAATATCTAATTAATACCTATTATCCTAGTCTACTACTAAACCTCTATCTCCTACTATAACATCTTATATTTAAATTAATCTACTTAACCTAATAGAATATTTACTAGCTAAGTAGTATATTATATATTATAACTATAATAGAGGATAACTTCCTACTAGAAAATCCTAGTAATTACATACTAGTAGACTATATATAAGATACTACCCTAAGTATTACTATTATAGACTAGCCTTAAGGGAGAATGCAATAAGCGTTAATAATAGTATTTAGTATCTTAAAGGAGAGATAAGCCCTCTACGCCTTTTTATAGGTGTCTAGTGTGTTCGCTTAGTAGTAGTATTAGACTTAGTCTATCTTATATTAGACCTAGGCTTAGGTATAAGCCTAAGTCCTTTATATACCCCTAACCTTCCCCTATAAACTATTATAAAATTATCTTTCTAGGGGTCTAAGGTTATATCTTTATCCTCTATAATCTATATTAGGCTTTATTACTATATTTTTTAGTTTTATTATTATATCTTAATATTTCTTCCTAATTTATAATAGGCCTATATATTAAGTAGTACGCGCGTATAGCATCTATATACTTATTTTAGCACCCTACTATAAAAGTTCTAATATAGCTATCCTACCCTACTATAAATTTCCTAAACTTACTTTGTTATATAATAGATTTTCCCTACTAATTAGCCCTCTCTCTACTCTTTTTCTATTAATCTTGCCTATCTAGCCCCTATTATATCCTTGTCTACTACTACTAGTGCTAGTAGTAGGGATCTACTATAAGGTAGTTAGACCCTACGCTAGGCCTACTAAGATAAGGTATATACTTCTAATATTCTTCCTATATTTCCTATACTAACCTTTTATTTAGTATATATCTCCCTAAACCTAGTTACTTAGTAGCTTTATTATTTCTAGTAACTTAGATAATAAGGAATATAATAGTAGCTTTATAAAGCTACTTCCCTATAATTAGTATATTAACTAGCTTTATCTCTTTAGTAAGTGTAACTATTAGAAAGATAGTAGTAAGTTCCCCTTAATTTTTATTTCCTTTATAGCAAGTTCTAACTATATCTAGGGTGCTTATATAAGTCCTACTATTATAGCTATAAGACTTATACTTAGTTAGAAGCTATCCTTACTAATAATCCTAATATTTGCTAAGCCCTCTATAACTAGCTTTAGTTTTATTATAGTTACTAGGAGGATTACCTTTATATTATAAAGAAGGGGACCCTTAGTACTTTTATAGGGAAACCTACTAAAGGCACCTATTACTAGTTTATACTATAGTTCTATTAGCTCTACTATTATTTTAAGGATCTTATATTAAGGGCTTAAACTAATAATACTATTACTCTACTTACCCCTACTACCTACTTACGCGCCTATAATTAGTATTAGCTTAGTGCTATTATTCTATCTACTACTAGTACTCTAGTATTTCCTCTTTAGTCTACTATTACGCCTTTATATAGTAGTTATAGTAATAATAATATTATATAGCTTGCTACTACTACTAGTATTACCTTCTAGCGTATTAACTAGCGTATAAATAAGACCTAGGCCTAAACTAACCTTTATATTAATAAGCTTAAGAGCGCTACTAAGTGTACTATTTAAGGTATTAAGACTCTTATTATTAGTATTAGTTTTCCCTTATTCCCTTTATATCTATTCTAATATTTATTTTCTTTAGGCCTAGGGTGCTACGCGTTAGTAAGCTATTAAAGCACTACCCTCCTCCTAACACTACTACTACTACTACTTATACTTATTAACTAAGTTGTCCCCTACCTATACTACACGTAAGCGTTACTACTATTACTAAGAGATATAGAGGTGTTAGAATAATATAAATAATAGTTTAGGGGGGGCTAAAGGGGGGTTAGTTATAGATAGTAATAGTATAGATACTACTACCTAATTATTAGCTATATTATAAAACTTTAGTAGTAGGGCACTTACTTAGAGTATTATAAGGATAATTAAAAGATTTCTCTAATACCTTTCTACTTCTTAGTTATAATAAAGGTCTAAGTTATTATTCTAGTTTCCTTTTACCCTTATTTTCTAGTTTTTATATATATTAGGCTATTATTATATATAGTATCCCTATACTATTCCTTAAACCTATCTAGAGCCTTAGTATCCTATACTACCTCTAGTAGGTGCTATATTAGATTAATATACCCCTTCTATTTTACTAGGACTTAATACTTCCCTTTTCCTCTTGTATTCTTTATATAAAGGATCTCTTCTACTTCCTATTTATCTAGCTTTATATCTTTATTTTCTAGAGTAACTATTAGACCTAGTTATAAGTCCTAAAGCTTCTAGCTTAGTAGTAGGTTATTAGTAGCTCTCTCTAGCAGATCTATATACATAGTCTTATACAAGCTCCCTAGTAAGTCTAATACTACTATAAGTAGAGTAGGAACTTCTATTACTTTATACTTTACCTATAGCTAGTTAAACCTTTTACTTAGTTAGTTTATCTTTATATTACGTATTATAAACTAAACTATATTACTTTTTAGGAACTTTTTAGCTAGGTATTAGGACTAGTTTATTACTTCCTATTATTATTACTATTAGAATATAATAGTAGCTTACGCTAGCTCTATACCCCTTTATAGGTGTAATAAGAACGCTATAGCCTCTCTATAAGGATTCTTAGGCTTTACTAGTAGTAATATTAACTTTTATAGCGTGTCTATAGTATACCTATTTAAAAGTAGATTTAGGCTAATACTAGTTATACTAGAGTCCCTATTATTAAGTGCAAGTTAGTAGGCTAGTAGGTAGTTAGGCTAGTTAGTCTACTTAAAGTATACTATTATACGCAGCACTACCTATACTTCTTAGTTTACCTACTCTATCCTGCTGTCTATCTAAGGGTAGTATATAGTAGATAGTAACTAGTTTATCTTTGTTACCTAGCATAATATTATCTAGAAAGATCCTAATTAGTTAGAGCCTTAGTTAGTAATAATAGAGGATAGGAAGCCCTAGAACTACTACTAGTTATCCTAGAAGATCCTTACATAATAATTAGCTACTATAGAGACTATTACTTTAAGCTAAATATATTTAGATAATCTATTAGTAATAACTAATAGGTACTAAGGTTTGCTATTATCTTTTATAGGTAGGTTAACTATAAAATCTATAGATATTTAGGACTAGTATTATAACATAACTAGTATAGGTTATGAATAGACCCTATTAGCGCTTCTAGGAGATATAAGTACTATAATAATAGCAGTTTTAAATATACTGCGTAATGTCTCCTAATATTCTATCCTAATAATAGTCGCGGCGTAGTATTTAAAATATTATATTCTTTCCTAGATATCCTACTAAACCTAATTTATATACTTGCTATATAATAGTAGTTATAAGGGGTTCCTATATTAGTAACTAAATAACGCCCCTCTAAAGCAAAGTGCTATATGCGCTAATTATATAGTCCCTAATCTATTACTTTATATTAGCTAGAACTAGGAAAGACCTAGCGCCTTTCTAAACTGCATTAAGACGCACTTAGTATATCTTATCTTCTAATACTACTTTGTCCTATAGTATCTGTATATACAGGTTAGTAAAAAGGCTAGCGCCCTTTAGTAACTTAGACGCCTCCTCTACTTCTAACACTACAACCTAAATTAATTTAGGGCGTATTACTAACTATAGTATTGCTTTAGAGGAGTTTAAATCTTATAGTTACCTACTTAACGTATTAGGTTATCCTATAAGATAGCTAGGTCTATACTATAGGATATACTAATATTTTAAAAGTTCCTCTGCCTAGTAGCACTATTACTTGCTTAAGCTTTAAAGGCTAGTAAAGTACTCTAGGTTTTTATAGTCTATAAATATTATAAATAGTTTATAAACACTCTATAACTCTACTAACTAGCTTTTAAGACACTTAATAATAGGTAGCAATTCCTTATTATATATAGTGTAGTTTTATCTCTCTAGCGTTAGTGCTATAGAGTAGTAAGTAACTAGGCGCTAGACGCCCCTAACTTTTTATAATAGGTAACCCCTAAGAGCGTATCCTAAATAGTCTACTTCTAGTAATATCTCTTTAGCTAGGTCCTATTATATTAGTACTAGTCTAGATATAAATACCTTTTTTAGTATATTAAATACACTCTATTCTTCCTCTCCCTATTAAAATAGGGTGTCCTTCCTAGTTAGTTAGTTTAAAGGTGCTGCTACTTTAGAAAACTTTACAATAAAATCGCGGTAGAA